TGTATTAAGATAGAATAGATGTATTGAGATAGAATAGATGTATTGAGATAGAATAGATGTATTGAGATAGAATAGATGTATTGAGATAGAATATTTGTATTAAGATAGAATAGATGTATTAAGATAGAATAGATGTATTGAGATAGAATATTTGTATTATTATTATTACAGTTTCTTTTCCGATTGAATTGCAGAAAGAAGGGAAAGCTTTAAAAGAATCAGATACGTTATATGTTTTCAACTTGATAACAAATACCTTAAAGTAAGCCTGAAACTCCTGAATGACGTCTATTAACCAATACAACTCTATAAACCTCTGATAAACATTTATCAAATATAGGCTTCCTAATCTATGCATATAAAGTTGTAAACTTGTAATCTCTATTTGTCTGTCAGTTTGTTTGTTTTTCCGATCATAACTCAGAAACGCCTGGAGCGATTTGCCTGAAATTTTGATTTGGGAACTCGGGAGGCCCCCGGGAATGTTCTCAGCTTATATTATAATGCAGACAAGGGCGTTTACATAAAAAATGTATGGGGGGGGGGTAAAAATTGCTTGAAGCGAAATTTAAATTTTTTGTCCCCCCCCCCTTGGAGCTCCTAGGGCACGTCAAACTAAAGTAAAAGGCAAGTTAGATTGACAACTTATATGTTATTTTATTTTAACTTCTGTTATTGAAGAGATATTGTAAAGAACAAAAATGTTTTGAATTTATAATATGTATCCAAGTAAATTAGCTTTTCTTACGTTTGTGCGTAAAATCAGAACTAGAGGAGCAACGGAGTCACAAAGCTGTAACAGTAATGTCAATTGAAATTGACCTTCTCCTTCTAGTTAGTTTGCAGTGAGGGGGGGGGGGGCAAAATTTGAAATGTAAATTCAAAACCTTTGGCTTCTTTGAAATCAGGCATAAGTATAAGATACTTCAAAGGTACAAAAAAGCATTTTTTCTAAAAAATCGACATTTTATTATACTGTTTAATGATTAGTATTTAAACTAGAGATAGAAAAGACACTTTTGAAAATGAAAAACTCAACTTAAACTTAAATTATTTGAGATGAAAAAGGACAAAGGTCCAGAAAATAATTATGACCTGTAAAAGTTTCTGTTGTGAAAAAAAAGTAGGAGTACAATTGTAATCTATATGATATGGCTGGCCAAACGGCTGAATCAAATGGGCTGAATTTTAGTGAGGAAACTCATAGATACCCTTGGGGATGACAAAAGCTCAATAAATTATGAGTTTTTGTTTTAATTCGATTTTTAAATCTAGGGGGCCACTGCCACCCCTGCCCCCCCCCTGTTTACGCCCTTGACTGTAGATTGTTATAGAAACCTTAAGTTGTTGTATGTATTGTATTTGTATCTTTCTGTTTGTCCCTATAATTAACTTCAGTAACAGTAAGCTAAGAACATGCCCGTGGGTCGCTCGAGTTCCCCAATAAAAATTTGAGGCAAATCAGTCACATACCCCAAGACTTTAGTTTTGTCGACTATGTTATCTATATTATATAAAGTTGTAATCTCTGTTTGCCTGTCTGTCTGTTTGTAACTTTGTTTGTCCGATCCCAACTGAGGAATCCCTGGACCGATTTGCATCAAATTTTGATTGAGGAATTCGAGGGAGACCCACGGGAATGCTCTTATAGCCTGGTTTTCAGATTCACAGTTGAGTGGGTCGACACTCGACTTTAATAACGAAAATTTAGTTTCCCGGTAAAATCGTTTAAGTGTGGGTAGATGGCGGGAGTAACTTTTACTTTTTAGTAACCTGAGACTGGGCAGCGCTGCAGTTCTCAATTGCTTCTTCAAACTTTTATTGAAAAAACAAATCAGCGTTGTTTACAAATAGGGTAAACAATAATCACAAGGTTAACAAATGGCTTTTCGCTAAGTACTCTCTACTTAATCAGAAATATATATTATTTGAGCTCATTATACAATATCAACAACTCTGTTACGGAAAACTTGTAATTTAATATATATCGAGCAGAAAACGTGACAGTAAAAAGATTAGGCTCTCATTTTTGTTTTGACATAACAATTTATTTTTGGTATTTAATATCTTAAAATTTTGCATTTGGTATTTTCATTCGTAACGTACTTTCGTACATTATACTGTTAATTATACAAGAGAAAAAAAACAGAATGAAAAATAATGGAGATCCGTTTTTTATCGCCTGTCTTCGAAGGGAATTTCAACAAAATCAACCTGGTAAATTTTGGAAATCTTTAATTAGAAGAACTATATAGTTATCTTGAAAGATATAAGTGCAAGAAGAATATGCAATATCATTAGGCTATGAGGAGATAGACTAACACCGGAAGACAGGGGCGTAAATAAAGATTCTGTAGGGGAGGATAATTTTTTTTAATTCTTCGTCGTCGAAATTTTTTTAACCCCCCCCCCCCCCCAGAAAACTATCATGATGGATATCAAATTATTGGTTTTAATTAGGTTTGATTTGCATTTTCCACTCATTTCTGGCATTTACAAACTCAATCAACTAAAGGCTTCATTTCAAACCTTTCAGCTTTTACCTTGTTTTATATCCTTCATTATAGTCATTCATTTTATATTAACTACAAAGATCGTAAAAATCTTAATCTATTTTAAGTAAGATAAAAAAATTAGAGTTTTACTCTAAGAGGAAAAAGATGTAACTTTTTTAAATCTTTAGAAAAGCTACTCTGCAAAACTTTGAAAAAATAGTGTCTTTGTTTATTTTCTTATTTCCAATTTCTAAAATTTTCTTGTCGTCAATGTTATAGTGTTATAAGATCTTAAATAAATCTAATATGGAAAGGACATTATTTAGAAGTAAAAATTTATTTTCCATTGCCCATACCCTTTTTTTCTATTAAAAAAAACATCTAATTACGTAATGACATTGACATACATTTGACTGTATTAGAATTTAGAATCATTAAGAATATGTTGATTAAAAATCTGAAATATATCTGAAGTATCTGCACATTTAAATTATTTTCTCGCTAAGGAATGGAGTCTTTGCTACAAAGTCTTATTTTCTAACCGCTATATCTATGGAACCAATTGATGCAGAATATGTCAAACTATGAATTCTGTTAGATCAAATAATCAAGGGCGTATACAGGGGAAATCTTGCCCCCCCCCTACATTTATTTCTGTATACGCCCTTGCAAATAATCTGAGTTTGAAATATATCAAAGGTTTACAACATCGAGTTTTAAAGATATTTTGGTTTAAATATGATTTTGTTCCAAAGACTCAATTCATTTAAAAGATATTCAATTTTAAAATCAACCTTTTTTTAAGAACAACAAATTTGTAACTTAATTCGCTATTCATGGGGCCTGAATAGTTCAGCAGGGGATCCCCAGGATTCTAGAGGCGGGTAAATAACCCCAATAACCCCCCCCCTTATTTACCCCACTGCCGGAAGAGTATAATTTGGAAATTAAATTGTTAGTATATAATATTTAATTAATCCTAATAATTTGAAAATAATGCCAATTCATCCATGAAAATATCACATGAATAACAAAATTAAATATTTTCAATTTTATTTCATTCAGTACCAAAACAATTAACCTGTAAGTGAAAATATACAAATTGTCTTAATTTTAAGTGAAATATATTTTCCCTGAACTGTTTAATCAGCTGATACAGCCCCATGGTTTAGTCGGTTTACTGAAGCTGCAATATACCGAATAGTCCTATTTTGTTGCCCGAGGATTATGCCTTCTTTGTGCACGAAAATCTCTGAAAATCAAGGAGGGGATAGGGCTGTGGCCCCATCACCCCCTCCTGAGTCAAGTCTGAATCAGGCCCTGGCTATTGTTGAGAAAAAAGTGCGAAATTTAGAGAAGCGAAAGGTAAAAATTAAAACTTGAGAATAATGAAGCGGAACCATTTTCTACACAAACGTTGTTGCTGCAATAAATGTTTTGAACATAATATTATGCATTTTGTAATTTGGGCGTTTTGTTTGTCTGAAAGACATTTCGTTAAAGTTATAATTTTGTTTTATAAAATCAGTTTTTCTAAATGATATAAAGAAGACTATTTACTATTTAGTAAATGGTTCCTTGGGTCAAAATGTCGAATTTTTATATGAATCTAGTAACGTAGTTTGCTGAAGGTTTAGCTCACTCCCAGTTTAGATGAAAGGGTAATTTCTAAGAGAACGAGTTTATGGACCCCCCCCCCTCTATCAATTTTGTACATGGATCTTATATGTAACGTATATGTAACACAGGGATATAATGGTCCATTTGGCTGCAACGCCCGGCCCCCTAGCCACAGCGCTCGGCCCAGAAATTGTCTTAACCTAACCTAATCCTAACATAACTTAAATTAATTGTCGTGTACTAAATTGATAGGAATGGGGAGGGGCGTCCAAAAATCGTATACTAGGACGGACCCATGGAACACGGACCCCATATAAGTTTTTTTTTCTAACTGCGTATAGACGGGTTTTTGTCTTTAAAAGTTGGTGGGTTTACTTATTTCTACTGATATTGGATTTTACGCAATTCTGTACCATTTTTGTTTCAATAAAAGTTTGGAAGAGAGGGTTCAATTCCTTGCCTGAAATTAAATGTCGCTTTCAGCTGTTTTTTTTATTTGTGGGGGAGGGAATTATACTTAGTTTTCAGATTATATTTATATTATTCCTATTTTTATTGTAGGCTAAGCTTGATACCTATCGTGAAAGTAAAGCCGCCGGTAAAGCTTTGAATGAAGATCAAAAGCTTGCGGTCAGCAAATATGACGAGGTAAGAAGTTTTCTGTCTAGACAAACCATCTTCTAAACAATATTTTGTTTTATTTTTATTCACATTTTATTTTTCTATGCTTCTTTACATTTTATCTTCCAATATATGACCTTTCTTAACATTTTAAATATCTGAACAGTGAACATATTATTCGTCAATCTTTCTGGATTAATATTAATCATAATGGATGTGTTTGCTGATTGTTTGTTTAATCATATCGGCTGAGACGATTGCGACCAATTTTGTGTGGGACCTGATGTGACTCAAGTTCGGTGTGTCAGAATTTAAAAAGTCGACTTATTATAAATAATTTATTAACAATTTTTCATGTGGATTGTGGCATCTATGGACCCAAAGGCTTGTTTGTCGTGATATCTTAGATCTGAAATTTTTAAATTAAGTATTATGTCAAATCATTAATCAATATAGTATTGATTCCTAATTTTAATGGTATCATTTATCGCAACCACAAATCAAATCTGTGTACTTAACCTGACGAATCAAAAATCAGAGTTTGTATGATCATTTTTGGGATCGAATACAAATCTAACCATTATCAATGGCCTTTTTTCGGAACCGGCTCGAGATCGATTAAGGGGTTTATTCGTTAATTGATGATTCCTTTAAATAAATACACATCAATTTAAATACTTCAGTGGATCGAGTCGTCTCTGGATCAGTTTTGAAATTCCTTGACAAAGCCATATGTCAATGTAGATTTTACAAGCGTTTTAACACTCCCGGGCGAATTTTGTTTTTATTGATAATTTCACTTTGAGCTGGAGTTGAAATCAGAGGAACATTTATTATTATTCCCCTCCTCTACTATACTGGAGGGGGACCGAAACCCAAAAAAGTTTTAGGACTGAAGTTTTTCAAATATAGAAAAAAAGTATATTGAATTTATATCTGAAAAAAAGTATAATTAGTACCCTTTGAGCCTCTATTTAATCATGAATGAATGCACTGGGGTTATCGTTATGGGTGGTTGCTTGATACCCAACTGGCCTTCGGGCTGCCAGCCATTAGGAATGTATCACTATCACACGGGCGTTAAACATTGTGTGATAGCCTAGAATATATTCCAGGCTGCAGACTGCATGTTGCATCCTGAGGGCGGTCTTGGGGTACCATGTCGGGTTCCTTTTCAGATCTTGTAATTATTTATCTATTTATTTATATAAACAAATTTCTAGATTTAACTGTTTTGGGGCGATTTTGGTGCACAACCTTGTTTTAATAATACTGTGTGAATCGGACATACCACTTTAAATGGAGAGTCACTTATAATTTTATCTATAATCTGTAAATTGGCCGTAACGATAAAAACATTAATTTACTTCAAAATATTCTGCAAATCCAAGTTTATTTGAGTTTAAACCGTTTCCTCAATAAATTCTGTACTAGGGCTGCACTGTCTGATCTGACTGGGTTTGGTCTGCTGGTTTCTCCAGGTCGGGAGGATGTTGAACCTGCCAAGTTCGAGGCTGCCGTAGCTCTTGCTGCAGAGCATTTTCTCAACCTCTACGAGCAAAAGGTGAATACAATTTTTTTTTATTTAATTAAGAAATGGTTCGAGCATAAAATATCTGGGTTCAGTGTGCAATGTGCATACACTCAAGTTGCAGGTAGACACAATTTAATTGAGGGTTCCTGTTGTAAATATCTGTTGAAACTAATATTTTGTATTCTGCTGTAGGCGAAGACCGTGAATGGAACATCGTATAAAGATCTCAACTCAACCATCAACTCTATTCTTGACTCGGGATTCCTTCACTCAGTTCCGGAGAAGAGCAACAATGCCAAGGTAGGATTAGAAACAAGAAATTGGGAGGGGGGGTTGAGCACATCATTCTGGGTTGAACACATCCTCCTGGGTTGAACACATCCTCCTGGGTGGCACCATTATGTTTATTGTTCTCTTTTGTGTAAGCTAGTGTATATCATGCATGGTGTTAATTTGCAAGAAGTTCGTTTATATTTTAGTTATTAAGAAGTGCATTGAGTAAATAATACTGTTAAAAGAACTTCATGAATAAAGGAGTTTTAGAAGAAACCGCGCTCAGCACTGTCCATAATCAGGCTCTTATTCTTTACCTCCGCACTTCTTAAAAACACAAGTCAATATTTAGATAATACATTTGCAATAACTTCATAAACAAGGAAAAATTGTATTTTTCAAGGTTACGCTGTCAAAATGTCTTTTCTTTAATTTTTTCTTCATAAAATCAAGAAAAGACAAGCCACGATTAAATGTATAAATGGAAAATAAAAGAGAGAAAAGAGTTTGATCGAGGAGAATCAGAAAGTATGACGTTATTTTTATTATTTATATTTGTTTAGGAAGATGTTGAGAGCAGGAGTGAGGACGAGGATGGAGATGACGAGGATACTGAAGAAGAACCAGAGAAACAGACAAACGGACACAAGGTACAAACAAACAGACTCAATTCATTTTTATCGAAAGCCATTTAAGGATTATCGGACACAATTAAAAAAATCAGTGGACACAATATAAAGATCAATTGACACAATTCAAAGATCAATGGACACAATATAAAGATCAATTCACACAATTCAAAGGTCAATGGACACAATCCAAAGGTCAATGGACACGATTCAAAGATTACTGGACTTGGACACAACACGAAGATCAATAGACACAAAATAAAGCTCAATGGACAAAATAAAATTATCAAAGGACAAAAGATTTATAAGAACAGAATTTTGAGTTGGAAGTAACATTTACTCCAAACAGACTAACGGACGCATGGTATAGACTATGGTTGACAATGTAAGGAGGAACTTTATTTTCAGGACGAATCAGAAATGAACAGAATGTTGGGACAGCCAGCTTCCTTACTCACCCAGGAGCCCGTCCCCGAGCACACCCCTGTAGTTGAAGAAAGGCCCGCCCCCTCTAGCCCCGCCCCTGCTTTAGATCAGAATAGACCTGAAGTTCAGCCTCCCGCACCGGAACCCAGTTTTAATTTTCTACAGGTAAATACAGTACCACCCTGTGTATAGCAAATTTCTCGAAGGAAGATGTTGAGAGATAGAGGACGACATTTAATACGTTCAATGTTGGAGATGCTATATCAATTAGACTACTGAAAATCTGAACTATCGCTCAATTCCATTTTTTACGACACCATATCGGAAATGAAAAAGCATTTAACATACTTTGAATTTATTCATTGTTCAAATTAGGTTATTATTGATTCATAATTTAATCCTCATTCACAAAAAAGTCTGACATTATCAAATTTAAACCAGCAAACAGTTAAAATATTGAAATTAAAACAAATTGAAGCTGTTCAGATGAGCTATCGCCTTTATTCAAATGATCATTATTAATTTTAATTATTTTGGACAGATAAGCCTTCAAAAAAAATGATATATTATTTTGCTTTCCAAAAATACAGGATGGGCCAAAAAAAATAGTGTTTTACAAAACACTCGTTAGCAAATCACAATTTTAGACAAAAAAATTTAATATGATTATCAATGCTGGACAGGATATATGGAAATTTTCAATTATGCACTTTCAAATTTGCATTTAAGCATTTTTTTCTTGACGATTTTAAGCTAAGTTAAAACTTGTATTATAATATAGGCTAAAGCACAAATTCATTAAGTGAATCTACTAAAACTTGTAGAAATATTGATGAGCGGGAGCGGGTCCGGTAAATTTTTTAACATAACAATTCCTGTATCTAGTTCTTTGATTGAAACTACATAACATTCAAAGATTTAATCTCGACTCAAAGGATAAAAAATTATAAAATCATTATAGTGTAATATTATAATAGCTCTAAAATTCCATAATACCAATATATATCTAGGAATCCCAGATAGATCTAAAATCCCCTAATACCAATATATATCTAGGAATCCCAGATAGATCTAGAATTCCCTAATACCAATATATATCTAGGAATCCCAGATAGATCTAAAATCCTCTAATACCAATATACATCCAGGAATACCAGATTGATCTAGAATCCCCTAATACCAATATATATCTAGGAATCCCAGATAGATCTAGAATCCCCTATGATGGACCCTGCAGTAGTTATGGTACAAGGTGCTAGGAAACCAGATCAGGTAAAATTGTCATATTTTTCGAGAATATGATTTCAACAAATCGTATGATTCAAATACCTGGCTTGATTTTAATTCACTGTGGTTTCAAAGTGTCTTCACTTGAAATCGGTTGGCTCATTTTTTGTCGATATTTACATATGAAAAAAGTGCTAAATATTATCTATACCAAGAATCTTATTTAAAACAGGCATCAAACCATTCAGATTGCAGAGCTCGGCCCCTAATCGCATACAACTCAATCTTAAGGGTTAACCTCACCTTTCAGAATCAAAATAAGATATTTAGGAAGAAGAAAAAAATGATAAGACATTGTAATAAGTCACTTTTCATTGTTTTTTTTTTTACTGTGTTGAAGTTGTTAAAATTCTATATATTCTCTAGGTATATCCTGCCCCCATGTTCCAACCTCTTCCTCCAACTTCACTCACCAACGGTATTCAACATCAGCATCAGTTAATGCAACAGCATGCAGCTGCTCTAGCCCATCATCATCATCAACAGCAGCAACAGCTTGGACATCCTCAGCTTCAGCAGTTGGAGCAGTTGCATCAACAACAACTTGCAGGGTAAATAAATTAAACTCACTGCCCAGAAACTGAAAAGTTTGAGCCCGTAATTAAGTTTTAAAAAGTTTCACCTATAATTATATAGGAGCCTGAAAATTCAGGTTTTCTCCTTTTATAATTTGAATTTGATAATTTTTCATCTTTAATAGATATAATTGAAAATATAATTGATTCGTATGTATCACGTGATCAGAACTTCAAGTAATGGCAGTGAAGTATCATAGTGTAATTATATGTATTAAAGATGAAAAATTATTAAATTCAAATTATAAAAGGAGCAAACCTGAGTTCTCAGGCTCCTCTAGGATATCGTCGTTTTCTGAATGGTATCTTATTTGCTGAGTATGATAGGGTTTTAAAACTTTTACCAAACATCACATATACGAGTTTTGGTATAACTTTGACACAATTTTATATCAACTTCTCGAGACAGAAACATCAGATAGAACTCTTATATTTGTCAATTATTTCCTAAAATGCTCAGGTTTAAGCCTATACCCCCTTCCACTTTCCCTTTTTAGTCCCTTTTTAGCTTGTCATTTCATTTCAGTTGTGTAGCAGATAAACCTAAAATCCAACTTGTTAAACCTAAGCAATACGTTTCTTTAAAAAAGCAAAAAAAAAAAATTTAGTTGAGAGTGCTAATTGTGCATGAATAGATGGAACTGGAACAGAAGAGATTGTAATGAATAAAAAACGATGAAAAAAACGATGAAATATATTTTGGGAATGACAATGAAGGGAAGCAAGTGAACTTTTAAGTCAAAAGTATCTTAAATGTAAATTAAAGTCATAAAATATTTTTAAGTATTTAAACTTGAACTTAAATCTCCAGTCCTCGCATATGTTTTACTAAATACTTAATAATTTAATTGCACTGTAATTAGTGAACTTGAATTAACTCAAGTCACGGATAGATTGAAAAATATCGTGTTAGGCCTTGCAAACACGGCATTGTTTGATTGGCGAGATTTTACGAATAACTTGTCAGTAAACTTACCCTGTGCTAGGATCCATTTCATTTGGTAGCGGATCCGGATCCAGGTTGTCGACATGTCATCAGGATTTAAAAATTGTTTGGACTTTAAATTTAGAAATTGTTAAGACTTCGAATTTAGAAATTTTGCTCATCTTTATGCTGAAACTTGATGATCCATACAGAAACAGGAAAATTTTGGATAATCTCATTAATTGACTGTTAACAATTTAAGATTCTTGGTTTGAGGGCGAAGTGTTCTGAACAGGTTATGATCCTGTACTCTGTACTTATTCTATTCTACGATTAGATCCATCCTTTGGTAGATAATCGTTAATTCTGCTACTATCAGCTATATATATTACTATTGGAAGTGCCCGGCGGTTGCCCGTTGGAGAAAAAATATATTTTTGATGAAGAAAAAAATTCTAATTTTTTTGCTTATGTTGCTCCCATGGGTTCCCTGAAAAATTCAGCCAATTCGTTCCAGCCGTTTGGCCACCTATAGCTAATATATAAATATATATAAATATATATACAAACTAGCTGAAGGGCCCAGCGTTGCCCGTGGAATGAAAAATTTTCAAAAGAAAATTAAGAATTTTTTAAAACTATAACACCCCCCCCCCCCCCCCCCGGCCGCTCATGAGTTTCCGCAAAAAAATTCAGCCCAATCGGTCCAGCTTGTTTTATATATACATAAGCGAAGAGCTTTATTATATAGATTATCCAATATTATTATATTTGTTTTTTTTTTCTAGCCGAGGTCCTGGTTTCCAGCCCACCAACCTACAACAGGTCGAACAGCAGATATTCAAGGAACAGGAGTCCTTAAACAAACAGGAAACATTTAACCAGGATTACGAACAGCAGAACATTTACGAGAAGAAGAGAGGAACCCATCCTCCCTTCTCTCAGGAGCATACGCAAGATCAATCTACTCTTGACGCGACTCGTCCTGACCCCCAGCCTACGCAGGAAGAAACGAAGCCTCGTGTCTCAGGATACGCGGCGGCAGCAGCAGGTTAGACATTACTTATTATTATTATTTTAAGGAAACCATTTTCTGGCAGAGACCTTGTTCTCCACAATACTTTTTTCTCTGAAATTACCGTTGACAGTCATTTGTCAATTTTTGGGAAACAAAATAATGAGGTCTCCGTTATTAATTAAGTCTTTAATTTTATCTAAATATAGTAAAATAAATTTATTTGCTTTTTTCTTACATGGGCTATACTTTAAACCAAAGGTCTACATGCATTTTACTGTGAGAAATGTAGAATAAAGGATGATGAAATTGGAGTATGAAGAATAAAAAAATATTTTTTAATCGGACAGTTTTTTTCAATGTTTTTATCCATACTTTTGTTCAACAGAAGTTTGTTGAATGTGTATATTGGTTTAGGTTACAAGAAAACTATTACCTGCGCCGTTTTAATACTTTTTAGTAAATCCTAACTAACCCTATTGCACTTGCCAGTTTTGATTTTCCGAATAGAAATCTTATTGATCTGATGTTGTATTGTAGGTCCAACATATAGACCTGATCCTGAGATAGGAACCTGGAAACCAGAAGGAGCTCAGGATAGTGGAGAGGAGGGTAGAAGAGAGGATAGAGGTCCTAGAGGGAGTAGAGGAGGAGGAGGCGGGGGGAGCAGAGGATTCGGTAGAGGTGGTCGTGGATACTCCAGAGGTAGGGGAGGCGGAGGAGATAGAGGAGGGTATAGGGGAGGAAGAGGAGGCGGTGGAGAGAGAAATGATCGTGGCGGAGACAGGAATGATCGTGGCGGAGACAGGAATGATCGTGGCGGAGACAGGAATGATCGTGGCGGAGACAGGACTGATCGTGGCGGTGAAAGAGGGGAATACAGGGGAGATCGCGGGGATCGCAACGATCGGCCAAGAAGCGACCGTCCTAGAGGGTGAGAACAATCGTCATTAAACAGCTTATTTAGTCTAGTGTTATCTCAATTTTCCGTCTTCTACTCGTATTTATGAAGAAAGTTGAAAACTGATGTATGAATTTCGATCCAAATGTCCATAAGTGGACATTTTTGGAGACATTTTAGACGTATTTTTGAAGTCGAATCAAATTTTATTTCTTGATTAACTAAATATTAGTAACAACTCAACAGTCAATATATTAAATATGTTCACATCTGTTTTTGATAATCCTGCTACTGTGTGCTGATCAGTAATTAGCAGATTTTCATTTCCATGGAAACTGATGAGAACAACTAATGCATACATTTTCATTGATATTTTTTTGTTTTCTGCCACCACTTTACATCATTAACAGTTGGTCCATGGTTTGCTGCCTAAGAGGCTTATTGTTTTGTTTTTTGATGTATTCAGAGCGTACTTTTGGGTTGGGTTAGGGGAGAGGATAAAAATATAAATATTCCTTAACATTGTATGCGCTTCATAATTTGTAAGCTTTGTTCTACGAAAATGGAAAAACGTAACGATGAAACTAGTTCTTGTCTAATAAAATTTAAGATTCAAATAACATTCCAATAAAATCTTTTTTTTGTCGAAGCCTGTGATGAATTAATAGGATTGTTTTTAGATCTGGACCCCGAGGCGGCGGTGGTGGTGGACGTGGAAGCGGTGGACCACGAGGAGGTGGACCAAGAGGACCACCCAGGGAACAGTAATCTCTGGTTGGATCAATAAGGGATCAATGATCCTGGACAGGTCGGGAGCTGAAACCTGGAGATCTATTTGACTCCGTCTCAATCCACACGATATTCAAGCTTATAATTACATTTACCAGTTTATAACATCCTTCACCTGTCCTCTTTATATGGAAACCTGGAAGCAGGACACATTTACCTACCTGTCCTGTCCTAGGGACAAGATGTGATTTTCCTGCTCTGTGCACAAACTGGCATTCATGTTCAATGTGTTGCAGAAACTACGATTGCCCAGTTCTCGTTTCCTATCAAATAAAATCTTCACGCATTACATTCTGTTAAATTCACATTCGAAGACTTTTCCTCGGGCAACTTTAGGATTGATCACAGAATACTGTTCCCATGTTTTTTTTACAATCACGTAAACTCCTTCCTAGAACAAAGCATTACTAAATCATGAATTTTTAATTCTTTGTCTCCCCCCGTCCTCCAGTCCTGTTCTACTTGCATTTTGTGTTGTACCCATGTGCTGTACCGCCGCTTTATACTGTACTGTACTCGTGTACCACACTGCATCTGTGTACTGCACTGTACCCGTGTGCTGTACTCAGACCAATCTCTGTATTGGGTAGTATTTTTTTTCAGACAAATAAACATATTTCTTTTTAACAATCGTTTGAATTTTTTTGCGAACAAAATGTTATTTAGTTAGTTAAGATGTGGTTTAAAGCATGTAGTTTCTCTGCCAGTCTTAACCTTTTAGAAATAGAAGCAAGTTAGAGCTGCCGGTGGTTGTTTTAAAGTTTTCCATGTTATTTGATTAGTCAGACAAGAGAGTAGTGAAGTATACTTCAAATATAGTCAAATTAAAATTTTATTTCTAGAAGTAGGTTAATTTAAGACAAGTCTAATTTTAAAGGTTTTTTCAGTAGACTGAAGTAGTCCAGTGCTTAGGAATCATTTAATTTTGACGCTGATCCCGGATCCATGTAGAGAACATTGAATATTTCTTAAAGATTTACTGATAATTCTAGCAAAATTGTAAAATAACATATTTCTTTTTTTATGCTTATTTTTATGCAAAACATGATGAACCATTCAGAGATCAGGAAACTTTTATAATCTCTCTTTTTTCAACAGTTTAGATTTGGGGTTTGAGAGTAAAAAGCTTTTTTAGTTTTTGGTCGACATTTTGCCCCGTGGATTCGCATGTGTTTACGTATTAGGATCCTGGAAGCCATAATCTTGCGAAAGCAACGGATCCGGATTCTTAGCGCTGAAGTAGTCATTTTGAAGTCTGATAAGGTTTGAGGAGCTTAAGTTTAGTTTTAGAAGAAAAATGAGAGGAAGTGGATTATTTCAAGATTTCAAGTTGAGAAAAGTTTAATGAATCAAGTAAAGAGAAGGTTTACTAAAAGAAATTAAGTCTTTGCCACTAACTCAGATTCTCTAATGCCTATGTCTGAGCAACCCGTTATTGTCAAGGAGTATGAAATAGAAGAAAGATACAACTGACGCGGACCGCCCTATAGATAAAGACAGATTGCGCTCAAGACGAAATTTTTCATCTTGAAAGATCTAAATGTACAGAGATGTTTTTAACATATTCCTGTTCTATATATTAACTAGGTCGGTTGTGAACATTGGCCGTTACTATGTTATTGAGTACTTGTGGTGTACATGAGTTCTGTAGAGAGAAATTTAAGTTAGTTTAGAGTCCTTCTCATGTCTCTCATGTCCTTCTTAAGTTCTCGTCAATATGATATATTACTCAGTGAAATATTGTTGTTCAAATAGTTACATTCCCGGAGTTATTTTACACTCTATTATGAAATCCATTAAAACACCAAACCACCCCGCTTATCATTGAAGTACACCTTGACCCCTAGAAGTATGAGTTCGCGGACTGTACAAATCTTGGTGATTTTGCGTACATAACTATGAATTTTGTGTTACATCAATCGATCAAAGTTTGAAATATTACAGTTTTACGCCATCAGGCTGTCAAATAATTGAGTTTAGAAAATTTGAGTTTGTAGTTGATAAAAATTCCTTTGAATCTATTTAGAAAGATAAAGAGATTAGAAAATTTAAAAATTCTACATGAAACTCGGCAATCTGAGCCTAATGCATTATATCGTGTATCGTTATAGAATAAAAATAGACGAACTTGTCATTTTTGTTCATATCAGGATTCAGTTCACTTGTTACCCTGATAGGATGTAAAGGAATGAACACTGCGGCTAGATTAAAGGTTCATAAACAGAATGTGCCTTTAGAATCTTTTTTTCTTGACTATGTCAAAATGGCGAAAAACTAACTTTACGTTTTTTTATGAATTAAAAGATTTTGCTTGTGTTAATTGGAGGTTTTCTAATATTTCTTGTTGATTGGAATTTTTTTTAACCTATTGCATGAGTATCTAATATCTATATAATGATAAATCATTAGAATTAGAGAACAACTGTTCTTCGAATTATTATTCCAACTTTTCCAGTTGAATGTAATCTAAATCTGACTATAATTATCTATTTATTTCGTCTTAAACGGCTGTATTCAAGTATTTGTAAATGGGGGATAAAATACCCCTAAGGATTGACCGTCTCACTAAACCAGTCTAGAGTATAAATACAAGTTGACCGTAGTAATCCCTTAGTTCTTCTCTGAGTCTGAACCCACAGCCTGAACCTAGGTACTCACACTTGACTACACAATCTTCTAAACTTGTTTCAGTCCTTTCAAATAACGGCTCATGAATGGATCTACATAGGACTAAAATTCAAATCAATCTAAACCCGCCAGGGATGAATGGTTTTGAATTTAACATGATCTGTAAGAAAGAACCTGTTAATGAGAACCACCCTGGAGCTTTAATCCAGGATCCTGCTTTCTGTGAAATTGGATCCAGGTGTAAGGATGAGAAGGAGATTAAGGTGGAGGTGGAAGATCCGCTGCAACTTTCCAGGACTGATATCAGGAAGGAGCCTGAAGAACAAACGTTTCCAGGTATATTCTTAAACTATGTAAATCTTCACGTTCTCTCTTTTTCATCAAAAAAGAAGCACCCGCAGCGTTACAGACTTTTAATATTGCAAGAAAGAAAACCCATAAAATGCTTGACATAATTTTTCAACTATTTTACATTATTTATAATTCTTAATAAACAATTCTCATTATCTGCTAAAAAATACGACTTAAAAGAAACATAAACAAACTTTTAGTATTCCTATATTTGCTTTTAGTATTCCTATCATCTGCTTTTGATATTCCTATATCTGCTTTTAGTATTCCTATATCAGTTTTTAGTATACCTATTAACTGCTTTTATCTGCTTTTAGTATTCCTATATCTGCTTTTAGTATTCCTATTATCTGCTTTTAGTATTCCTATATCTGCTTTTAGTATTCCTATATCTGCTTTTAGTATTCATATTCTGCTTTTAGTATTCCTATATCTGCTTTTAGTATTCCTATATCTGCTTCATTATTCTTATATCTGCTTTTAGTATTCCTATATTCTGCTTTTAGTATTCCTATATCTGCTTTTAGTATTCCTATATCTGCTTCATTATTCTTATATCTGCTTTTAGTATTCCTATATCGCTTTTAGCATTCCTATATCTGATTTTATTATTCCTATATCTGCTTTTAATATTCCTATATCGCTTTTGGTATTCCTATATCTGCTTTTAGTATTCCGATATCTGCTTTTAGTATTCCGATATCTGCTTCATTATTCTTATATCCGCTTTTAGTTTTCCTATATCTGCTTTTAGTATTCCTATATCTGCTTTTAGTATTCCTATATCTGCTTTTGATATTCCTATATCTGCTTTTAGTATTCCTATATCTGCTTTTAATATTCCTATATCGCTTTTAGTATTCCTATATCTGCTTTTAGTATTCCAATATCTGCTTTTAGTATTCCTATATCTGCTTTTAGTATTCCTATATCTGCTTCATTATTCTTACATCTGCTTTTAGTATTCCTATATCGCTTTTAGTATTCCTATATCTGCTTTTAGTATTCCTATATCTGCTTTTAGTATTCCTTTATCTGCTTTTAGTATTCCTATATCTGCTTTTATTTTTCAACCTAATTCAAAGAAGTTTCTGTTCATAATTTATCTATAATTTGGCAAAACTTTTGACAGGATTATCATAGAAGAATAAACCTCAACTATATCTATTATAATTTTTATCTTAATTTTTTTTTACTTGTTGCATCTACTTTGACGTATTGAGACAGTTGTAGGACTTTTTTTAAAACAAGCTGAATTTGCACAGATATTAGTAATTGATTATTATATTGTTCAGGCCCGTAGGCAGGATATTTCCAGGGGGGTAGAATAATGCGCGCCGCAGACGATTTTTTTTTAAAATGCTTGGTTTGTTTTTACAGTTGTATATGGTTGTTTTAATTACATTATCAATGTACACTATAAAGACTAACAAGTGTATTTGAGCTTTTATGGGTTACATTTTGGTGTCTGCAACTTTTCAGTTTACATATACAATATACATAAAAAAATGAATGGTTATACTTTAGCTTAAGGAAAAAGTTCATAATTTAAAATCATTGCTTCTTGTCCCTCGGCCTCATCATGATAATGTAAAGATGAATAAAAAAAATAATACTAATTTCTAATATTTAGTTTAAAAAAGTTTATTTATTGACATTGAGACATTCTTAGTGAATTTTTTAGTACTAAAAAAAAACTCTTCTATTTTGACTTAGAATAGATTAGAATTTGGTTTGGGAAGGGAATCAATTCTAACTTGGGCTGTACAATTGATAACAAGATTTTAGAACATTATGAGAAACAATTTCTTTTATATGAGACAAATTCGACATTGCACCTCCTTTCAGAAGAAAGGGGGGTGCACCTGTCCCCTTGATATTGTTGATTTTATATGTTGATTGTACAATAAAACTAGTTTCTAAGCTGTCCCAACTGGTTGTGATTCTACAGTGGGACCCATAAGATGGTGGAATTGAAAGACTTCAATAGAAAGTGATCAATTTTCTCTGTTTAAAATCTACTTATTTCGAGAAATGGGTTTGAATACAGTGCAAAATTTCTGTGTGTTCATTGGACTAATTAAGATCATAAAACTAGTCTAACAGTCGTCTTCCTTTTCATAGTCATATTTGTAGGACTTTTCTATTGACAAATAATACAAGTTTAAAGTCCTTTATTACTTTGTTTAGGTTTGCGGGTAAAACCAGCTAGGAAACGTGTTCCCATACCTAGATGCTATAATTGTGACAAATGCAGATTTTTGACAAGAAACTTCACAGATCTGAAGTATCACATGATAATTGTTCACAAAGTTTTCCTAAAACTGATAAATGAATCTGATAAGGAGAATAATAGTTTCTCGTCGCATCCTATTAATTTCCCAACTTTCCAGCTCCATGCACTCGCTGCACTCACGACACGTGAGGAACCGTACACCGTTCATAAACCTGGAAACACCTCTACCATTGATTTAAAGCCTAAACTGGAAAAAATCATGAAACCGGCGGAGCCAAACATAAGGAAACCCGATTTTCGTTGCAAGAAATGTACCGTTATCTGTCAAACCTCTCAGGGAATAATTATTAAAATTTATGATTTTAAGTTTTTGATTTACAAAATACAATACACTAATTATGGTCATTATGGTCGCTTTAAGTGAAATATTAGATTAATAATTATGTTTTGATGGAGTTAAAACATCATTTGATGTTTGTTCACAATCTCTCCTGCTTCTCCTGTGATCGATGCAGTTTTGTTGCATTACACAATTCCACCTTGTATAGCCACATGAAGAGCAAGCATCTTGGTGTCCGCTATCCATGTGATGAGTGTGACTATCTGGCGACATCACTCTGTCATATAAAGAGGCACAAGCTGAATATTCACAATGGGAGTCGATATCCCTGTAATATATGTGAATATATTGCTAAGGATACATCAAACCTGAGACGACACGTCAGAAAAGTCCACAAAGTTGAGCCGTGAAAACTATAATGTTTATACTGTCACAGTTTTTAAACATTTGATTTCTATTTTTTGTTTTCTACATATTTTATTAAAAGAATAAATTATTGTTACTAGAATAAAAGTACAATACTTTTTTAACCGTGTTAACATAGATGAAATAGTTGGTTGAAATAAATGTTAATATTATTAGAAAAATTAATATTTTTAGAAAAGATATTCTTTGAAATGAATTAAGAAACCAATAATGACGTAATTGAATCAGCATGGCCATTTTCATTTTCTTATAGTAATAGATTAATAAATCAAATAACTAATATTGAATATGATATATAGTCGTTTAATGACTTAATTATATGTGTACTAAAGAACGAAACAAGTTTAAAGTTGCTGGAAACCAGACAGTGTAAACTCCTTACCAGGACCATAGCTAGGAATTTCTTAATTCCATTTTTTTGACCTGAAAACAAAGAGGACAAACTTAATGTTTTGCATAATGTTTTCTTTCCCTTAAGTGTTGTTGAGAAGCTATTTGCATTAAAAAAAATTAGATGTTATAATCACACTCATACATCATGAAACTGTTCAAAATAGATTTTATTTAGAGATTTGTATTAAATTATACATAAATTAATTACTGAACCTTTTTTCATCACAAATAGGCAATATTTATTTTTACTACAGTGAAAGTGGCCTCAAAAGTAATGTAAGTGCCTGTAAAAGTTCAAGCATGAAAATCTTCCATTTTCGCAAAACTAAAATTCGAATTTGAGAAAAACTGAAAGCTTGATGATGAGTAAGTACAAAGAGCTTTACCTAAATTGGCCAGATGAATTATTTAGTTTTAATTATATTAATTATATAATTTCAATTGGTCTTCATTTTGTTACTTTTTGCTGTAAACTGTAAGATAGTTTATTAAAATCAAGCACTCAATTTTTCTTTAATTTAAAGAAAAAATTATCTTTTACACATAATATTGGTAACAAAAAATAGATTTTTTGCCTATTTTCTCCCCTTTTTCCTTCTTTCTTTCAGTTTTCGTTCTCTTCCTTTTTGTATCAGATAATTTGCCCCCCCCCCCCGTCGGTGGAAAAGAGGGGAGGCAAGTGCCCCTATAATTTCTCAACAGAATCTGTCCAGATTCCAAAACAATATCATCCAGAAATCTTTTCCAGGTCTTCAGGGGACACTCATCAGTTATTTTGTATGTATTTGAAAGTTTCACAATTTGATCATCAAGCTTAGTCATAAAACGGGGCTGGATGTATTCCCATTGCTGTTCCTATAAATTGTTTGTACAGTTTACCACCAAATTCAAATATGTTATTTTTTAACCAAATGTCTAGCAGCGCAATCAAAAATGACGTAGGTACAGATTTATCAATTCTGCTTTCAAGAGCTTCTCTACAGAATTCTAGACCATCATCCTGAGGTATATTTGTGCACAATCCTGTAACATCTACAGAGAATAGAATAGAGTTGGCTGGTAAATCATCTTTGTTAATATCTTCAATATACATCTCAAAAAATCTGGAGTATCCTGAAGATAAGATGGGTGTAAGTTGGAAAGGGGATGAAATTTTTAAATAGGTAAATATATACATATAGTCTGACCTACATTCTCTCTAGTTTAGGACAAATTATATTAATTAGTGTAAGGACAAAAACTAATTTAAAAGGTATATATAACAAAGAAGTTGTAAACTCATATATAACAATTGTTGACACGATTGTGTAAAAGACATTTTAGCGAAAACAGAGTAAATTCTACGTAACTACATAATAATTGAATAAAAGGCTTAAATACGTAACACAGTTTTTACATCAAAGGAACTGAGTTTTTGCCAAAAAATAATAATTAGTAATCCCTATATCTTTGCAAACCAATATAGTAGACCTTTAAACTTTGAAATTTGTTGAATCCAATAATTTAAGTTTGAAATATTAAAGATTTTTTGGAAAAAACACAATGTAAAAAACTAGATTTTTAAGTCACGAATAGTTTATGTGTTATGTTAAAAAATATGGCGTCAAACCTTATAGAACTCCAACGTATAGAAAACGCTACGTATAGCAACATGGCGTATTTTCCGGAAGAACATTTTTTATATTTTTGAGAAATTAAATAATCAGTGTAAAGTAGATATAATTTTTATAAAATCCTTTCATTAAATGGTAAAACGGAATTTTATGAAATCATATTCGCATTACTGGAGAACTTTTTAATACTGTTGAGAATTTTTTTTTCTAAAAATAAAACTGTAGATAGCATTTTTATAAAATATTTTTTTAAATAGTAACATGCAAATTTATGTATAACCATATAATCATTCATTTATCATGTTGTCAGTACATAATAAAATCTGGGGGACCTCAAACACAATAGAGAGCAGTACAAATGTACATATTAAAATTATTTGCTCCTTTAATGTCTGGGGTATGTTAAAAAAATAGAAATTATGAAAATGATAATGTTTTACAAAAAGTTTAATTCTCAAAAATATAAAAAAATTTCTCCCAGAAAATACCCCATGTTGCTATACGTAGCTGTTTCTATACGTTGGATTTCTATAAGGTTTGACGCCAATATATTATATTAGTTTGTATTCTACAAATAATATATTTATGAGAATATAGACACCATGTTTATTCGAAGATGTAAAGTTACTCGTGGGCGAAAAGTGCTAAAGACTCCCAAATCTATCTATCTATCTATCTATCTATCTATCTATCTATCTATCTATCTATCTATCTATCTATCTATCTATCTATCTATCTAATCTATCTAATCTATCTAATCTATCTATTTATTTATTTATTTATTTATTTATTTATCTATAGTATACTATATATCTAAATAGCTGTTAGTTTATCTATCAGTATCTATATATCTATTTATGAGGCCCATAGCCAGGGGAGGGGAGGGGGGGGGAATGAAAAATTTGCATTCCGTTCAAAATAGGTTGCTTTTCATGAATAATGGAGATATTGGCATTTCAAACATTATTTTCAAACATTTTAATCATTCTGTATTAATTGCCCGTAACGTTCATAAACCCTCAGAAGAACCTGCAAACTAAAACATTTTTGAAAAGTATTTGTCCTGAGGAGGTAAGACTTTCTGATCGAGCAGTGAGAAGTGGTTAAACTAGGTATAGCTGGTTTAAGTGCGTTCTCTTCGTCGGTCTTTTACATCATCAGCATAACAAAACATTTTCTGTCAACACAATTAGTAAAATTCTACGTAGAAACTAAATTATGAAAATTTATTGTGAAAAGTACAAAGTTCAGTGACCAGGGTAAAAAATGGTTTCAATGAAAATTTATTAAAATGTTCACTGTAACAATAATTTCAAGCTAAAATTACTAGCTCATATGAACAATTTTAAGTTTATTATATAACAAAAAATTCAAGCTAATATTACAATTAGTTTTGTCAAAATGAAAAATTTGTCTGTGCTGGGGGCACTAGGTTTCACTCGGTGATCCTGGGCCCAATTCCACCCCACCCCACTTTACATCCCCCTTGTAAAATTCCTGGCTACGGGTTTGGAGTATCCATAAGTTCATCCATCAAATCTGATATATTTATCTAACTATATATATTCTTATATTTTATAGGTTTATTTTGTTACAAATATTAAACCTCTATATGAGCATAAACATATATACATGTTTCAATATATATTTAGTTTTATCTACAATCCATGCCTTCCTATCTATTCTATATATAGTATAGATATGTATGATATAAAATATGTTCTTTCAGTCGACGTCGTAAATCAATACATTAAGTACATTAAGTACATTAAGTACATTAAGTACATTAGGTACATTAAGTACATTAAGTACATTAAGACGACTTTCTATTTCAATTTTAATTTGTGCCAAGCTTTCAAACAGCTTGGAAACATCATAAAAATTGAAAGAAAAAAAGCTGCTAATTAATTTGTAAACTTTAAATTTGAAAAAAACTTGTTAGAAATCAAAACTTAAATTTAAAAGTCGAATTCTATTGTTTATATAAACGCCGACCAATGTAGTAGATATAAATTATATTAATTGTGATACATTATGATATATTCATCATTCTTTTAAATTTTGATGATTTTTGAGGTTGCACACATGAAAAAAGGAATGGGGGCTTGGGGCAAATATTTTTATTGATCCTGGCCTATTTTTAGGACTGAGCGCATGATATGATTTTCATTTTTCCTATATCTGAAGCAGTTGTACAACTTCTCTAGAACAGTACATAATTTGTTTATCTATTCACTTCATCCTTTATAATTTAAATATGATTTGGTCAATGTATAAATATAAATATTTTAAGTTTATATTTTAATGACGTACCATGAAGTTTCCGGACTTTTCTTTCCATTTTAAGACTAAATTAAAGGCTTGAACCTGTTTTGCCTGGTATAGTGGTTTCTATTACCTTCCCTCTTTTCAATGCCCCCCCCCCTTCAAGGCACGACAGCAACCCCTCCTTCCATTCAAACCAAAAATGAAGCAACCTGTCCCAATTGGGGTCGTTCAGTAATGGCGTACAAGAATTGACCCCATGCATGTAATCCAAATATTACTTATTCTGATTTTTGGAGAAAATTCTTTTTTGTCTACAGAGTTTACGTCCTCGCAATTTCTCTTCTTATTTATGAACGCCACTCTTGCTCTCTTTGTTGCAATTTATGAACAGCCCCTCTCTGTCTACTTCAAGTGACCAACACCAAACTCTGAGTCATACAAAGAACTTCAAAATATTTTTGAGTAAAATTTTATATAATTTTAATAATATGATAAATAAGAATATAAATATTTAATAATTCAATATTAGTTGTTGCTTTTTTTCAGAGGTTTTGAGCGAGGTTCAACAGTTGGTATTTGCGCATGCGCAGTACTATATTTTAACAGGTAGATGTGCCCAGACATGCGCAGAAACTGCAGACAATGTTAGACTGTAGTGGTCCATAAAGTATCTAAACTAAATGATGTAACCATTTAACAGGGAATCCTGGGAAAAATTAAACAGCTTTTGAAAAAATCTATCATAAATGTGCTGAGACTAAAGATTCAAACGCTGTTTTACTAGGGTTAAGACTAGGGCTGGGAGTCGTTTATGAAGAATGATTGTTCTTTCATAAGAATGATCAGAACTACCCTGCTGGAAAATTTCTCTCGATCGGAATTCTGATTTCTGACTTGAGAAATTCCGACTGAGGATTGAGATTGCTCCGCTTTTCATTCTGATCTGTTCCGATCATACTTGAAGCGGAGATCATATAAACAGGGTGGATGAACCTATCAGTTTACCGATCGGTAGACCGACACCGACACCTTGAAGAATTGGATTAAACTGACTAAGATTTGACAAATGAGCACGCTTTTTAGCATACCCTTGTTTTTTATCATTCTTTTTGATTTCATATCAGATGAGATAGTTTGTCTTTTCATCCCCAAAGCTCTTCAGACAGACTGATAAATTACCTTTGATCCGACAATGGAGTCAAATTCCAGCAGCCAACAATTACGGACTAAGAAAAGATTGCTTTTAATCATCCGATGCTGGAGCTCCACGAAAAGACATTTAAGGATGAAAAAAGAGTTCCGATCACATTGGAAAAAAAGAAACGGTGGAAAGAAAGAATAATTTTTAGCTGGGTATCAAGAAAAAAAGAACAGAATGTTGCAAAGAACTCGTTTTTAAAAGTGTTGGAATGGAACAGAATGGATATTAGCTTAAATGAATATTTAAAATCAGGAACACATTCTTGTTATCAGGAATGTGTTCTAAGTCAGGAATGCACTTTAAATCCGAAATGTATGCTAAATCATCTAGAAAGAACTGAAAGATTTTTTTGATTTGATCACCTAAATCCGCCACACTTTCCCAGGCCTACCTCTCTCATGAGGGAGGGGAGATTTAGTTTGAAAGAAATTGTGGTAATGTACCATATTGCGGCTACCAGGTTTAGTGTGAGGTCGGAGCCACTGATTATGAAAGGGGGGGTGCAACGGGGGAACAGCTAATTTTGTCTTTTACATCTTAAACTTTTGATTGTGGTAGGTGGGCGGGTGGGCAAGGGGTAACAGCTGATTTAAAGATCCCTGTTTCCCTCTCTATCCCAACTTCTCTCTCTATATCTCTAAATATCCCTGTTCCCTTTCATCTCTGTAAATATGTTTCCCGCCAAGAAAGAACTTAGTTGAACAGCTGTGCTCTGTCAGCTCTGCTCTGAAATAAAAGAGACAGTAGTCTGCCCATCCAACATCTGTAGTTAGGTAGCCATGGAATGGTAAAAAACTTTTAAAAACAAATTTTTAAACTTTTGATTATTCATAAACCTTCCCTGGGGTCATGTCAGGTCCCACACAAAATTTGAGCCTGATCGGTTCAGCCGTTTTGACATTTATTGGATACAAACAAACAAACAAACAGTCAGACAGACAAGATAGATTGAGTGTCAACTGTATCCTGATTATCTAATGCATCCAGAATTAAATATTTCATTAGTTTACTTAATTTTCTTTATGTTACTTAATGTCTGAAAGATATTTTTAAAATTTAACAGATAAACTAGCTAAGCTTTTCTGTTTTTATTGAAGAATTTCCATATATACATGTTTTTTTTGTCAATTAATGTTAATGTTTCAGACGTTAAGTGGAAGGGAAGGGTTTTGATACATTGTTGGTTATGTCCAACAAGAGGTAAATCTGAAATTTCCAAACCTGAGGAATTTAGCCAGGACAACCCAAAAACAGATGGATTTAGAAAATTTCTCAAGGATTTTTCACTATACCAAATTGTGATATTCAAAACCAGTGTGAAGCCCTGGAGAGCATATTTATTGAGTTTAATGGTCACAGAATGAATTAACTGAGTTAGGAAAGGCTCATTGTGAAGTCCCAAACCCACAACCATAGAATCTGATTATATTGTTGAACTTACATGAAAAGGAGTTTTTTTCAGAGGATGAAGTTCCTGAATAATTAATCAAAAAGTGATCAATCTACTATGGAGAAAATTTGCAACTTAAACAGTCTGGACAGTGGACAGCATATTTATTGATCTTGTCATTACTGTGTGCTTTTTTTGAATGTGGGTAAATTAATAGTTGAAAATTAATAGTTTTTTCATTGTTGGTTTAAGTTGGTTCTGTGTAGTCATCTTTAATTGTTTAATTTCATTTAACCCCAGAGATGCCAGATGTTTGTTTATCATTTGTATTATTGTTTACATTACATTATTGTTTTGTGTATGTTTCTTTGCATGATCTTTGGCGGAGAAAATGAATACTGAATAGATTGGGGTTGTAGCGGGGATCACTTCTAATCACTCATCTATACACTTTTGGACCTTTTCTCTATTCTCTTTATCTTGGAAATGTACAATTATACATATAGTTTCGGGATCATTTAACAGGTAGATACAATTGCTAAAAAGCCTAGCTAAATAGATGTTTTTTGAGAAGTACTGTATCAGAAGAAAATAAACAAAATATTGAAGTTTAGTGTAAAGATACAGATAGAATAAAATATGTGTGTAAAATTATAGAGAATAAGTAATTCAGTGGATAAAAATGTTATTAAGGGACAACCTTTTGGGAGGAATTAGCGAATTATTGTTAATTTGGAAATAAGAGAGACAAAAGAGTATAAAAACCATCATTAGAATCATTCAATAACCTGCAACAGATCATCACATTTTAAAGTCAAAAAAGCTGGTTGGTATTTCAAAAAATATCAAAAATAGTCCATAAATATTTTATTATTTGAACTACAGATCGAAAATTTACTTATTTGATAAGCCCTAGAAAATTAATGTCACTTATTACAGTGAAACCCTTAATAACGAATACATCGAAAGAATTCATCAAATGTCGTATTCTTCACTTTAAGATAATGGAATATTGCAGATATTTAGTTTTTTAATTAAATGATTATATGGAACTCTTTAAAACTGTTCCCACATATTCATGGATATTTATCTATTTTCGCAAATACTGAGATTCATGTAATATAGTATAAAACTCATTGAAAAATTGTCAAGACAACATTTGATAAATTCTTCCGATGTGTTCATTATTAAGGGTTTCACTGTACTATTTGTCAAAATTAAAAATTAATATTTTAAACTAAATTTCCAAAATTTGTTTTAATAAGAGGTCTAATTTTTCTTTGATGACCTGGCCTTGAAGAGTTGGACTAGAGACATGTAACATACTTACCTGCTTATACTCTATGGATAAAATCATTTTATATTATACAAAAATATCCCAATTGGGATAGGGCCGGTTTCTGCATCCAATATACTTGAATGTGTCCTGAGAAGTCTAATGTCTAGAGTCTAGCGCGCCCTTCTATATATATTTACACAACTGCCATCAAGTGCAATCTTTTACACTTCTATTGCTGGTAAGTCAGAACTATAGAAGGAAGATTTCCCATATAATTTATGTCTTTGAATGGGCCAAGAAGTTTCCTCAGGCTGGGTAATGAGTATCCACATTGCTTTAACTTCACTACTTTGAGTTGAGCAGTTTGCATCATGTATCTGTTATGCTCTTGGTAATTAGAAAGTATGGTGTAAGTTGTTGATTTTTGGTTGAGGCAGCATATAAACCACTGTCAGAATCTAGTAAAAATATTCATCATTTTCAAACTTAAAATCCCAATCAAAATTATCCGCTTGCCTAGAAGCAAGTAAGTTGGATAAATTCAATAAGTTCATATGTACTATAGCAGATGGACTGTGTCCTATCTTTCATGACAAACTGGGGACTTTGAAGAACCATTCAGATAAACTTGAATTGGAGAAGTGTTTTAAATAAAATGTTTGGTGACTTTTTTGCATAGTGATAAAAAAATTGTCCTTTCAACTCAGTGATCCACAACTTCTTCCTCAGCACATCATCAGGAGACTGTGGTGGTTTAAGGAGTGGGGGGAGGAGGTGTACCCACTTGGGAAAAAATTGGGACACACAATACATAGAATAGGCAAATTATAGTCTATTTCATTTGATTTTCAATTTTGGAGTAAAAGAAATATTTGCCTAGGGCACCACTTAATCATGCAAAACTTTGTTAATTTCCGAAATATGTTTTCATTCAGGGCAAAATTTAAAAGTTGACAGAACATTTCAGATCTGGTTTTAAGATTTTATCTTAAAAATGACCAAAATACCCTTATAGAATTCTAGGGGGAGGGGGAAGGATACAACATTTTGGTTCGGAGAGCAGGTTTGTTTTTACTGAGAGCAAAATGGTCTCCCAGTATAAACATAAAAATAAATGAATTAAATGAATTTGAATCCAGATTGCCATCAAAAAGAACAGCAAATTTCGGAGGGTTTAGCATTAGCAACCTGCCCCCCTCAAATGTCAAAATGAGCTAAGTGGCTAAGGTCCCCTGGACAATTTCCCCTGGGATAGGACCACCTTCCCCCCCCCCCTCATTAACAGTCCTGCAGTATCTTATTATCATTTATTTATAGATTGTAAAAATCCTTCAAAAAAGGTATTGCATATAATATTGGAACCTTCTGTAATCTATATATAAATTTGGCTTGTCTGTTTGTTTGTTTGTCTGTCTGTCTGTCTGTTTGTATCCAATAAACGTCAAAACGGCTGAACCAATCGGGCCCAAATTTTTTGTGGGACATCTAGGGACCCTAGGGAAGGTTTATGAATGATTGAAATTTTAAAAATTTGTGTTTTAGAGGTTTTTAATTTTGTAAAAAAATTAAAATTTTTGAAAATCCGCGAATTTTTTTTTAAAAATCCGCAAAACTTTTTTCATCTTTGTTTTGAAATGTAAACAAAAAGAACATGTTCACAATTTAAATAGAAGATGGGCGCGAAGCGCCCTAAAAGCCTAAAAAAAAGGGCGCGAAGCGCCTTGAATTTCTAGTCCTCTTATATAGAGAGGTATCCATTTACTCTGTGTGCAGCACTGCTAGCTCTGAATCTAGTCAGACGGCTCTAGTCTCACAGTACTAGGCCGTGTATACACCACACAGCAGTTGAAGAGAACCCAAGGACATAATATAGTCCCAAACACAAACACTCACACACTCATATACAATCAATTCACTTCTACTCAACAATGATTTGGCATGAACGAAGTGATAATGTGTAGTGATAAAGTTTTACGTTGGACACCCTGTATAATAGTGTTCTGTTACAGGGTGTTGTTAAAAAGACTGTTAAAACCTTGAGTAAGTGTTGAGTGTACTGTGCCTTGTAAAGAGTAATATATTTGCATTAGTGTCGTCAGCTATAAAAGAGTAAGTGAAACATTGAAAATAAGTATGAATTCCCCTTAAGGTAAGTTTTTTTTGAGAACTCAATAATTGTACTTAAATATAAATAGATTGATCTTTTTACGATTATTGTTAACAGTAAAAAAATATGACGTGATTAGGTTAAACAAAATTAATTACTTGGATTTTGGAATGAAATTATTACTTCAATCAAATCTTTGACGGGTAAATTCGTAGACTTTTTATCTAAACATTCATTAAAGTCAGCTTGAGCCAATTTTTAGTATTAGTTTTTGACTTTTTGTATTGTAATTTTTTAATCGAGAGGTCCCCCACCTCACAATTGTAAAATTTGACCCCCCCCCTCGCCTTATTTTGTATAGGGTTACTCAGTATTTAAGTTTTAATTTCTTTTTTGGAAAAAGATAAATCATAATCCATGAATTTATTTGTTGATTTCTAGATTTTCAAATTATTAAAGTTCACAAATGTTGACAAACTTTTTAATATTTATTTATTATCTTAACAACTTGCCTTTGTTTTGACCATAAATTCCTTTTTTTCACACTGGGGGGGGGGGGAAGTAGGCAGGGCCTTTGGGACCCTTTGCTTTTTTTATTTAGAAATAGGCAATAGGCTTAAAACACCATTTTTACCCCAAGATTAGAACAATTGTTTGTATTAAAGTCTTTATAAAGATTTTCATTTAAATTAGAATATAAAACATTAACCTAGAACACTCAGAGTCAACCCCCACAACAATTGTTAAAAAATATTCAACTAGACAATAAGAAATCGATCAATAAGCTGGATCGATTATAAAAACCCTCAAGGAAGGAATTAAGTTTGCCAAAAACTTATATTTTCTAATCCATATATTTTTGCAACCAAGTATAGTAGACATATTTCTAATTATTGTCAGATTAAATAATATTAGTTAAAAATTTCAAAGGTTTACGTCATGAGGTTGTAAAGATTAAGGGAAAAATAAAATTTTAGTTTGTGGCAAAGATTCAATTCAATTTAATTCATTACAATAAGGATTATTCGTTTGAATCAACAATGCTGAAAAAAATTAAAAACTTGCATGATAAACATTTTTTGTTGTGAAAGGAATAACTAAAAATGTAACAAATGAAAAATTAACAAATTCTGCATTAAAATGGATGACTTAATTTATCAATTAAAACTCAATTAATCATTAACTTGTACACCTGTATAATACATACTGTATTCCTAACCTTGTACACCTGTATAATACATACTGTATTCCTAACCTTGTTAATCCTTTTAATACAATAATTGGTGTTTTAAATTTTTACAGAAATCCAGCTTTTAAACTTTCTGGCGATGTTTTTTTTAATTTTTGTTTTACTGATACGAGTTTGTATTTACACACAAGTATAAGGAAAGCTACATATTACAAAATCAGAACATTTTTCTTCTCAATAACTCTTCGATACGAGTAGTTATAATTTAAAACATAAAAGATTTCAATTTACTCTAGTTGACCGTGCCTTGATGTTCTTTTATCTGTATATATGTTGAGTACAAATTGTATTATTACAATGTATAGGATTGGAAGGGTGTATCCTTGTATCTCATTCTGGTTTAATATATTCTGCAAAACTTTATTATTTTTGTCCACCTAGACATGTCTTTTTTTTGTATAAAACTTTAATCCAATGAAAAAATTTTTATTAGATTTAAAAAAATAATGTTAAAAAATAATATGACCCGTAACTGTATGTATTCTGCTACTGAATTGAAACGGTTGAAAAGTTGCAAATTTTACCAATTCTACAAACAAAGAGGCCTGGACACTGTATAGGCAGTAGGCAGTGCTTTACTGTTCAAGCAATTCAAAAATCAATCATTGAGTCTAGTTATCTATGTATTTATTGTTCTTTTTAACATTTTAGCTTTTACCAATTAGATTTTTAAGATCTAATCATACATTCATATAATATATCTAAATATATATAAATATAATTTCTGATGATTAAAAATTTTATTTTTTTTATAAAAAAGAGAACATTTTGCACAGAGTTATAGTTTTAACATTCCGTTATGAAGAAATTTGAACGTTTTTTTTACCAGATAATGATGTTTTGTAAATGATAAAAACCTCAAAATTAAGCAATTTCTGATCGAAAATATTGGACGAAATGTGTATATTCTGCACAATACTTCAGAGAAAATTCAAAAATAAATGTTATGCATGTGTTTTGTTTTCAGTTTTTGATGTTTTGTAGGACACGAAAATTACGTTTTGGTAGTGAAGGATAGATTGTTTGGTAGAAAGTAAATAATTTACTGGAAAACAAAGAAACCTAATCTTCAAAGCATTAAGCAAGTGCATTATTTCAGGAAATAAACTGTTTTGATCAGATCAACTTTTTGTTGTTGTTAGAAATTTATGTTCTGAATAGTTTAACTTTGTTTTTTGGAATAGATCAATTGTTTTATTTCGATGATCAGTTGTTATAAGAAAATCTTTTCTCCTAATTAGATCAATTGTATAAAGAAGATAAGTTCTCTTGAACAGATTAAATTGTTTAAAGAAGATAAGTTCTCCTGAACAGATCAATTGTTTAAAGAAGATAAGTTCTTTTGAACAGATCAATTGTTTAAAGAAGATAAGTTCTCTTGAACAGATCAATTGTTTAAAGAAGATAAGTTCTCCTGAACAGATCAATTGTTTTTAAGAAAACAAATTCTTCAGAACAGATCAACTGTTGAGTGTTGATATACAAAAATCAATAATATATAATATCTTCAGAAAACGTAGTTCAAGTTTATACAAATTGCAAATGTTTAAACATCTTTTTCGAAGTTTTAGAAGCATAATTCCCCCAGTTCATATATCCCCCGCCCCCTAAACTGCTCGCCCCCCCCCCTATCTGCCCGGATTTAACCTTTCTATTCCGAGAAATTAATAAAGTCACAGAAGTAAATGTAGAGATGTAAGGAGAGACCTCCTACCTATTATTCAGAAATATATCTCCAATCTTCATATCCTTCCTTTATCATATTCTAAACAGTTTTAATATCTAAACCTATTTTACCAGATTTATATAAAATCAAATCATAGATTTATCATAAGAATCTTTGAAATGGGATTGGTTACTTTCTATGCTTAACCCCTTGGACCCCCCTGTCCCCCCGTCTGCACACCTTGCGAAAAGAATAGATGGACTTGGCAAGAAGGCATGTTTGCAAAATTCTATTTAATTGAAAATACACAAAGAAAAGCCATCCGAGTTCTTGTTAATAGAGGAATTTAAGATCTGTTTTATTTAAGGTATAGGCAGTATTTTCACATTGGACTAATATACGTATAATTTATTTTTATTTGAAATTCTTATATGCTTTTAATGAAATATTGACAAGAAATTTTAATTTTAATATTATGCATAGAATTTGTTTAGTTTAAATCCACACATACAGAAGTTTCCTTTCCAGGACCCACCACACAGGTATCGATTAGTTCACCCGTCAAGTTATCCACCGTTTTTTTTGACCTGTAACATTTCAAGTTAAAACCACAATTTTTTTGTGCTTGTTGCTTCGGTCATAATTTTTCATTAAATTTTATTTTGCAAATTGAAGAGTTAAAGAAAAAGGTTAGTAAGTGATTAGTATTTGTGAAGTGAAATGTTTAAAGAAAAAAGATTAGAAAGTGAAAAAGTATTTGTTTAATGAGCCTAATTTATTATATTCTTTTATTTATTACGTAATCCTCCACCCTCCAGTTACTTTCTTTATTCACGCACTGATTCAACAGTGTTTTCTTTAATTACTTATAGCTATATAAATATATTAGCTGAAATTTTTGCCATGTTGTTTTTTAACAAAAAAAAGATTTTTAAAAAATTTTGAAATAAATAGCATCAAATACATGATAATAATATCATTTAAACCGGAGCAAAATGTTTCTTAAAACAATGTATAATGGAGATAAATTTTTTTTGAGTGTGATGGAGGAAGAGTGCTAGCCCCGATGGAGGTCTGGGCTTTCCAATATGGGGGGGGGGGTCTCAGATCTTTCACTTCATCCTATAATAAAGAATATGTAAAACAACTATAAATGTATCATGATCATCGTGACACTCCTTTTTGTCTACTTTAGATGAACCATTTTGTCGTTTTTAAGAGTCAAGAGATTAAAAAAAGATATTTTTTATTTACCACAACGGAGATTGGTTCAGTCGTATGGTGGAGTCCAATCTTGTTTTAAGGAGAAAGGTTTAGTGGTATGGTGGAGTCCAATCTTGTTTAAAGAAGAAAGGTTTAGTGGTATGGTGGAGTCTAATCTTGTTTTAAGGAGAAAGGTTTAGTGGTAAGGTGGATTCCAATCTTGTTTAAAGGAGAAAGGTTTAGTGGTATGGTGGAGTCCAATCTTGTTTCAAGGAGAAAGGTTTAGTGGTATGGTGGAGTCTAATCTTGTTTTAAGGAGAAAGGTTTAGTGGTATGGTGGAGTGCAATCTTGTTTAAAGGAGTAAGGTTTAGTGGTATTTTGGAGTGCAATCTTGTTTAAAGGAGAAAGGTTTAGTGGTATGGTGGAGTGCATTCTTGTTTAAACGAGTAAGGTTTAGTGGTATGGTGGAGTGCAATCTTGTTTAAAGGAGAAAGGTTTAATGGTATGGTGGAGTGCAATTTTGTTTAAAGGAGAAAGGTTTGGTGGTATGGTGGAGTGCATTCTTGTTTAAAGGAGAAAGGTTTAGTGGTATGGTGGAGTGCAATCTTGTTTAAATGAGAAAGGTTTAGTGGTATGGTGGAGTGCAATCTTTTCTAAAGGAGAAAGGATTAGTGGTATGGTGAAGTGCGATCTTGTTTTAAGGAGAAAGGTTTATTGGTATAGCGGAGTTCAATCTTGTTTAAAGGAGTAAGGTTTAGTGGTATGGTGGAGTGCAATCTTGTTTAAAGGAGAAAGGTTTAGTGGTATGGTGGCAATCTTGCTTAAAGGAGAAAGGTCTAGTGGTATGGTGGAGTGTAATCTTGTTTAAAGGAGAAAGGNGATAGATAGATAGATAGATAGATAGATAGATAGATAGATAGATAGATAGATAGATAGATAGATAGATAGATAGATAGATAGATAGATAGATAGATAGATAGATAGATAGATAGATAGATAGATAGATAGATAGATAGATAGATAGATAGATAGATAGATAGATAGATAGATAGATAGATAGATAGATAGATAGATAGATAGATAGATAGATAGATAGATAGATAGATAGATAGATAGATAGATAGATAGATAAAATCATAAAAACATCTTGGTAATTTACAGTTTACAATCTTTGCAAAATCAACATCAAAACTTGTTAATTACAATGCAAATGCTAATTTTAAAATGTTAGAAACATTTTTGTCCAATAAATAAATTTAAATATTATGAAACCAATACAGAGAACCTGAAATAAAAAATATCAAAACAGTGAAAGAATAAGAATAAAAAATCTCAAAACAGTGAAATAATAAGAATAAAAAATCTCAAAACAGTAGAAGAATAGGAATAAAAATCTTAAAACAGTGGAAGAATAAGAATAAAAAATCTTATAACATTAGGAAAATAAGAGTAAAATATCTTAAAACATTTGAAGAATAAGAATAAAAATCAGTGGAAAAAAACAGTGGTAGAATATGAATAAAAAATCTTAAAACAGTGGCAGAATAAGAGTAAAAAATCTTAAAACAGTAGTACAGAGATTTTTTACTTTGTTTATAAAAAACAGGGTTTCTACAGATATTAAATATACGTGGAATTAATATTATATGGATGAAGTCACCATTAAATGTTTTATTCATAAAATAACTAACTTACTAAAGAATTTTAGTGACTTCAATTACTTTCCCTTTATTAAGGAATATTAAGCTAATTTAGGTCAACAATATATGTAAATAATTAAACATTTTGAGCAATTTAAACTTTTTAGGATTTTGCTAGAAAGGTAAATATTAAGCTTAACAAGAAATACTACCCAATGTAATGTGATTCTTAAATAAACACCCAGATATATAGATATATAGATAGATAGATAGTGACACAGGGTAAATTGTTTACTTTCTCATATTTGTTGTTTTAACTCAATTGACAAGAGAGCTGAGAGGATCTAGAACTATCTATCTATCTACTAGGATCTATCTATCTATCTACTAGGATCTATCTATCTACTAGGATCTATCTATCTATCTACTAGGATCTATCTATCAATCTACTAGGATCTATCTATCTATCAATCTACTAGGATCTATCTATCTATCTATCTATCTATCTATCTATCTATCTATCTATCTATCTATCTCTATATTTTCCATCAACATCTCATCTCATGCATCTAACTACTTTACTAACTAACTATAAAACAATACATCCAATCTTTACCTTTTCCTGATCAAACCTTCAGTTTACCTAATGCAAACCTTACTCAATATTATATATTATGTATGGTCCCTTTAACATCTATATATATAATTTGCTTGTCTGTCATGTTTGTTTGTTTGTTTGTATTCAATAAACGCCTGAACGGCTGTACTTGTTTTTTTTTATCTATCAAAAAGTTTTTTTTTATGAAATAACACTGGATGGATTAGATTATTGGTCTGAAATTTGCCAACTTAACTTGGTCGAGGGAGAAATTTTTAGAAATATGGAATACAATTTTTCTTTTGTAAAATGCATTTTTTTTCCTATTTCGCAAACTCACTTTTAATATTTTTGAAACCCTGTGTTTGATATCCCAACCCTCCCAGCTGCTGCACTTGTCCATTCAATTATGAAGGATTCTGTAAACTAGATTAAAGAGATTATCGTCAATTATCTAAAATAAGAAATATATGGAAGAGAAATGATCCAAGAATAAAATTTGAGAAAAAATGATGTTCAATATACATACATTCGAATATTCAGAACTTCTTAAAATAAATTTGAATCGTCTCAGAACTAAAGTATTCAGTGATTCACTGTCACTGAACTGGGATACAAATTTTAAACATCTTAAGCAGCTCTTGGGATAATTAACCCCTCCNNNTACCCCTAATCTAAACTAATTCTAACTGTTAATTGATTTTTTGAGCTCGATACGCAAATGTTTTTGCATTTTTCAAGTTTTTTTAGTTTTTAGAAAAGATCTTTACTTGACCCCTGTTATTACCTCTCCGCAGGGACGTATTCAAGAATTTGTCCAGGGGCCTGGAGGGGCTAAAATTGTTTTATTTCTTTCCAGACGGTTCATCACCCGTTGGGACCTAAAAAACCTGAAAACCATAGCTTTCACTGGTCCAGGGGGAGAGGGTCTGAGCACCAATAGGAGCCCCCCCCCCCCTGAATACGTCTCTGGATCTCCGACTATACCAGCTAGCTCTAAGAATAATTATTACTAAGCTACTAGCTAGAGAAGACTGTATAGATTTTGTTACTGCACATTTTTCTTCTTCTTTACAATATTGTGTATTGGTATTTACAAGATAATATTCGATGCAGAATCCAGAATATAAACTTTAGATCGTGATATTTAAGGAACTCCAGGTTGGGAATTAAGTCTCATTCTTTGATGCAACCCTCTATAAATTGACTAAGCTATTATTATGGTTTTATTAGAATTTAAACTTTTTATATAAGGGAACTGGGGATACTACACTGAACACAGCGAAATTAACTGTTTATTAATTACAGACTTCTTCTGGTATGTTCGAAATTAAGGCAAGGAGGAGGATATATTATAAAAGGACATCAAAAAAGGCAGGAGGGAGTGACATAAAATGATAAAATGAAAGGAGGGAGTGACATAAAATGAAAGGAGGGAGTGACATAAAGTGATAAAATGAAAAGAGGGAGTGACATAAAATAAAAGGATGGGAGTGACATGAAATGAAAGGATGGGAGTGACATGAAATGAAAGGATGGGAGTGACATAAATGAAAGGAGAGGAATGACATAAATGAAAGGAGAGGAATGACATGAAAAAAGTGTTGGGGGGGGGGGGTGCATACAGTAAGGGGTTAAGTGTTAAATAAAAGTACATAAAATATATTCTGTAAAAATATGACAGTTCAGGAAAGATATATGAGCTAACTTTAGACCCCATGTCTCGTGAAATTAAGATTTTGAGAAAGAGAGAGGGCAGGGGAGGTACTTAAGGGAAAGGAAAATACGTAATTTTCTATAGAGGATAGGGGGTAAGGAGGGGTTAATTTAAGTATCAATTATGAGAGTTAAACGTCATATTAAAAATAATATTTGCAATATTATATAATTAATGTTAATGGTTGGTAAAGAAGATAACATGAAGATTGGGCGTATTAATAAAATGTTATGAATATATTATGTTTAATAATAGGATTTTGGGGGAATGCAATGAATGTTAAAATTAAGCTTATTTACACTGTATAGCGCAACAAATATAACCAACACATGGATATTGTTCTACAGAGAAAAGAGTTTGTTTTTTAAGAGCTTGCTCATTGAAACTGAATTTAAAATTTTCTTAGAAAATCATATAAATACAAATTCACACTATTTGATTAAGACCATGATGAAACGCGGGGGGGGGGAGTGATAATTACTAATGAGGTGGTTAGAATCAATCCCTGCTTGTAGTAATGAAAACATTTCAATTATGTTTCATCATCCACTGTACACAATATACACTAATATACAGTACAATATACATATTATTAGAAGGGGGGGGGGCACAAAACGTTTACTCTCCCTAAAATTTTAACAGTGTTTAAACATAACTTAGAATTGTCGTAGAACGCTGATTTTTGCATGTGAACTAAAAATGATGTATTGTAACTGCAAAATTCAGTTTTATAAAAATCCGAGCAAAAGTGCGCGTGCAAAATATTTTTCACTTTTGCTCGGATTTTTATAAAACTGAATTTTGCAGTTACAATACATAATTTTTAGTTCACATGCAAAAATCAGCGTTCTACGACAATTATAAGTTATGTTTAAGCACTGTTAAAATTTCCAGGAGAAAATACGTTTTGAGCTGGTATATAACTATAGCCAGACTTAAACATTTAAAATTTTTCCTATTTATCCAGCTGGTATATTACTGTAGCTAGACTTAAACATTTAAATTTTTCCTATTTATCCTGCTGGTATATAACTATAGCTAGACTTAAACATTTAAATTTTTCCTATTTATCCTGCTGGTATAACTATAGCTAGATTCAAACATTTTAAATGCAGTTGCTACATTTTATTTCTTCAAACTCTGAGTTTGCTGGTCTCTGAGGATATTGGTAGGGAATTGAAAAGATGGAGCCGACGGGGTGGGGGGCACATTTAATTTCCTTGCTTGACACCTTTAGGAATCATTTTCTATATTTCGACTGATAAGAAATCCAATGAAATTGAACTCCTACAGATCTCTGCTTTAAATATATTTAAACTCTTTTGAATTGAACTATGTGCAAGGAATATTAGAATTGTGGTGGTTTGACAGAGACGTATTAAAATAGCTCAGGAACTAGTTCTTATTGTAAACATACAACAGGTTGTTAACAGCCCAGGACAAACTCTTTCTTCCCTTGCACATAAAATTCATAGCTTCTTTTACAATCTTTGTTGATGTTCAAATCTTCAAAAGCTGTCTAAATAGTAAATACGTCTATCGTCCTCTCCTTTCTTTTACTTCTAAGGTTTGGTGCACACATGTACATGTACATGATTAGATTCTTAGTCTGATATTTAGCCAATTTTTTAATCTATCACCTTGTAACTGATTAAAGTTGCTGAACAATTTATACTAAAGAAACCTGTTATTTATTGGTCTTCATTTTACAATCAATTTGGAAAAAAGTAATTGAAACTGTTGTAACATTCAAAAAAAATTATTTTAATTTTTCTTATTTCAGGTATGATGAATGCGTTTAGTGGAGGAGGAGTCTGTTAAATAAAACAATTGTATGAATTAGAGTTGACCGGAAACCAAAATGGCGGCGCTCCGGTCCCCGCGTGATTCACTAAACACGCCAAAGATGCTGATGACGCCGATAGTTAAAGACGACATGTTGTCAACACCAACGTTGACGACGCCTCGGCCTTCTGATTGGGGCCCGTTCTCTCCGGCTAAGCTGTCTAGTTGTTCTAGTTCTCCGGGTGTTGGGAGAGAACATAGAGATCCACCCTCAGAACTACCTCTAGACTCTAGTATAGGTAATAAACCATCTTCCACTTTATTTTTTGCTTTAAGTTTACGACAAATTAAAGATTAGGCAATTCCACAGATATTTTATCTGAGTTTTTTTTGACATTATACCACTTGGATCCGGATCTCGGAAGACCAAATGTTGTTAATCTCTACACTTAGTTTTCTATTCGATCTTTACTTACATTTTAACTTTTTTTACTGTTGTGTCGGAGCTTTCTCTGCTCTCTAGTCCCATCCAATTATATTTAAACATTAACCTTTCTAATTAATGGTTTTTAATATAATTACGACGCAATATTTAAAATATAAAATAGAGAAAAATAAAGAGAATCTTTTTAGATACGTAAGCATGATATACGTAGTAAGTACCAAGTAAAATTATGCTATTTTTACTTGGATCTTAACAGATTAATTTTTTAGACTTACGAGCTCTAGTACCTAATATGTAACAATATCACACGTTTCCGAACACTTAATCTGAATAAGACTACTGTAGCCCTAATCTAAATAGGACTACTGTACCCCTAATCCATGAAAAGGACTACTGTACCACTAATCTAAATAGGACTACTGTACCCCTAATTTTAATAGGACTACTGTACCCCTAATCTAAATCGGACTACTGTACTCCTAATTTGAATAGAACTACTGTACCCCTAATCTAAATAGTACTGCTGTACCTCTAATCTGAATAAGACTGCTGTACCTCTAATCTGAATAGGACTGCTGTACCCCTAATCTAAATAGGACTGTTGTACCCCTAATCTAAATAGTACTGCTGTACTCCTAATCTAAATAGGACTACTGTACCTCTAATCTGAATAGGACTATTGTATAGGTTTCTCATAACTTTTGAGACACATATAAGAAAAAAGTTTTTGTTCTTCTTCAATAGAATTTTTTTTTCCTTTCACTGATCATGATATTTTTATATTTTTAGGTTTAAGTTCTCCTCATGATGGAATACTGGCGAAACGACGAAAGTTAAAGCAACAAAATAGGAACATGAACAATAAATATGCAAACTTAGCAAAACTTATTTATTTTTTATATTTTGCTTGTCTGTCTGTCTGTTTATATCCAATAAACATCAAAACGGCTGAACCGATCGGGCCTAAATTTTTTGTGGGACATCGTGTGACCCCAGGAAAGGTTTAAGGATGGTCGAATTTTCAAAAATTGGCTTCTAACAAAATTAAAAAAAATTAAAGATTTTGAAAACCCACAAAATTTTATTTTTATCAAATCCCATAGATTTTTGTTTGTTTTGTTGTACAATGCATACAAAGAGAACATGTTCACAAATAAATAGAAGATGTGCGCGGAAGTGCTCGAAAAGCCTATTTCTTATGCATTTATTAATTTATTAATTTAATGTGTCGCAATTCAATAGCAGTTTTTTCTTTTTCTTGAAGTTAAATTTAAATAAAGGAGCTGATAAGTGATTACTATCATCATCCTTCAATTAAAATCTAATTATCTTCGCAGCCTAATGTGGTAGACATTTGAAATTTTAATCTTTGAAGTATTCTGTATCAAAGGAATTGAGTCTTTGCTACAAACTCTGATTTTCTGCTCATCTTTGGAACCAAATGTTGCAGACCTTAAGATATTTCAAACTATGAATTCTGTTAGATGAAAAAATCTAAGTTTGAAATATCAAAGGTTTACAACATCGAGTTTAAAGATATTGTGGTTCAAATGTTTGATTTTGTTCCAAAGACTCAATTCCTTATCTGAGTTTGAAATATCAAAGGTTTACAACATCGAGTTCTAAAGATATTGTGGTTCAAATGTTTGATTTTGTTCCAAAGACTCAATTCCTTTTAAATGTTTAGAATATGAAGGGTTTACAATTACATCATCAGATTGCAAAGACACAAGTATTAGAGTTTGAGGCGATTAATCTGTTCCTTTATTTGAATTTGAGGGTATTATTATTATTTTTATTATTAAGCGTAAAAGATTTATGATCTACCAACATCATTCCCGTTTCCTGTCAACTTCGTCAGCATTCCCTTTAATTTTAAATTATAATTCTGATTATTGACAGTTTTAAGACAAGGTTCTATCGTTAAGAAATTGCTAATTGCTAACGAGCAATTAATTTAACAAAGGCTCCATTAAATATCAAAATAATGTTCTGAAAAGGTTGGGATTAGAAGTTCTAAATACAAAATGATTTATACAGTTTTCATCATTTCATAATCCACCAAATATTCATCCATCTATCTATCTATCTCATCTATCTGCCCTTTTTTTAAATTTAAAGTTAATGTTTTTTTGTGTACTAGTGGAGCCAGGAGTATTGAAAGTGATTCAAATTCTTGTGATACGCCAGGTTAGTATTATATTATGTAACATTTTATTGCTTTTTCATATATTTTATTTTCACCTTTTCAATGTTTTTATGAAATTATTGCAAGTTGAATAATTAATTAAATGAACCTTTTAGCAAAAATGTTTTGACCTTTTTTGTGGTGCAGACGTTTAATTGTATATTTGGAACCAAACATATGTACGACGTACAATTACATAATTAGACAGCTTTCGACATGAATACATTACATATTTGTCAAGTTTTAAACAAAATATGAATCGTCTGACGATAAAGCTTGATTTGATTGTATTCCAGACTTCCAGTATGTAGAAAAGTTTCACATTTATAAATGAACTAAAGAAAGTTTGCAAGATATTTTAATGTTCAGAGGGGCCCGAGTCTGTGAAAAAAATAAATTAGTGATTAATTTTTCTTCTGCATAATTCACTTGAAATGCATTTTGTGATTCCCATGAATTTGAAAAGAGAGGCACAGAGTAACAAACCAACTCCTCCATTTTGCTACTTATGTCACTTATTTCGCATCTTAAACGGAGAGAACATTTTTTTATATTAGAATATATAGTAAAAATGTCTTATTTTTTAAAAAGAATTCATAAAAAAACATAATTTTCAAAATTGTTTAGACTCAATGCCGAAAGATCTTTCTAACCACGTAGATCGAGTAGATAGACAGGTAAACACGTAGATCGAGTAGATAGACAGGTAAACTACGTAGATCGAGTAGATAGACAGGTAAATACGTAGATCGAGTAGATAGACAGGTAAACACGTAGATCGAGTAGATAGACAGGTAAACACGTAGATCGAGTAGATCGACAGGTAAAGCAAAATTACAATTGTTCAATTAAAATTTTAAAAAAAATATCTTATAGGGACTGTCGTTATTTTTTTTTAATTTCTTCATTGTTTCTGAAGCAATAAATGCACAAGTCACTTTTTGAGAGAAAAAATAAAAATATTTAGTTTTTGAAAAGTAAAAACATGGATATTTAATTCATATTTGATCAGCTAACGCTTAAAGGGTACCAATGTGAGTCGGAAATCTCACTTTAAATTACGGTTACACTTACAGTCCCTTTAAAATCCTACAATTATTTCACCTGCGTTTATTATTAGGATGATAATAGACCAACTGATCTCAGTACTACGAAGCGATCTAAGCTTTATATCCCAGGTCAAACAGTTTATTAATATTTAATGATATTAATATTTAATAATAAAAAGGTTTGCTACAATATTGTTAGTCTTTCAAATTATGTTTCCTATATATAGCCGGATGTTTTCTGTTTTTAGTTAGCGTTTCTTTACTTCATGTCAGTTAGATTTGTTATTGATTATTATTAAAAATGTTTATAAATACATAAATACATAACAGCATCACTATATTGATTGATTATCCACTTTAAATATAATTATGATATTCAATACTGTAAACATTTTTTAATCGCATGGTTGTGACTTCTAATCGGAATCGTTTAAGGGGAGGGGGGAACAATTGTACTTATACGAAAAAAAAACTTTTTTGGTAATTTATTAATTATTGAATTTGATTAAGGTGGACTGGGCCCTCCTGATTCTGTGGATTCTGTGCGGGATCGGGTTGGAGCAGTAAATATTTCAAGTTCTAGTCCTAAACGGTTCAAACATCCAAGGAAAATGTTGATGCTTTACCTTAAATCAAATTGTTTTAAAATAAATCCGTAAATACGGTACATATACTAATCCGTTGGCCCAATGTTTTGTTCCTGTCTGTTATTTAATATCTTGTCCTTTGCTCTTTGTTTTCTTTGAAGAAAGAACCTCCCGACAGTTTTACGAATGTAATCTGAGAACGAAATCTCTAAATTTGCGCAATCTACTTCAAAATGCAAAGTTTCTAAAATCAAAAGATGGATTAAGCATTGTATCAACAACGAAATATAAACAGAAGCTGTGATTCAAGACTAGGGGACCTTCGCCACGTCGAATTAAGAAATTCAGATTCGCGGTATTCGGATCTCAAGGTTAAAGATGACATTAACTACCATCCTTCTCCACTTGCCGTTCCTTCACCAAATTGGTCTACCATCAATGATTTTATGAGTGAAGGATTAGCATTAAAAACCCCAAAAGTTTTAGATAATTTTGTGTTTGATGTTTTGCCTCCGAACACCCCAAATACTCCCAAAAACCGGGACAAGTCCCCAGAACGGGTTTATGACAGACATTTTGAGCGCCGAATAGAGGATCGGCGAAGACCAGAGGCGAGGGTTTCCTTCGCGAATCACCCGCCGCGGCCAACTATTCTCACGCCGCCACCCCCTTACCCGCAGGATCTCTCTCTTCGGTCGAAAGCCGATGAATCCAGTGCTGTGAATCGAAATCGATCGATCGAAGAATTAAAGTCGCTGCGACACAAATCTATGGAAGAGATGGTATCTCGTCAGTATGAGATGTTGATACCTAAACAGGAAGTTGAGGAATGCTCACGTGCTGCCTCTGCTTCTCCTAGTCTACGTGCTGAGAGTGTTTCCCCCGGTCATGGTGGGGGCGAAATCAAAGAAGAGCCCCAGGAGTACTCTAGTATACCCCCAGGATTCCCTCCCTACTACCTACACCCAGGTAAGCAAGGTTCCAGGGGAAAGGAAATCAAATGCTTTTTGGTTTTAAACTTATTCTAAGTTCAAAAATTATTTTTATTTGTAAAGTAAGTTGCGTATTTCATGAAGAACTATAGCTTCTCAACACACACTTTAGATTAATGAAATTTGAAAATTGCAGTATTTTGTTGAGGTAGGATAACTCAGCTAATTTTTCGACGGGATTTAAAGATATTAGTGTAACATAATGTTTTTGGATGCCAATGATTATTCCAAAAACTTAAGTAATCGTAATAATAATAGTTTTATAATTCTTCATGAATAATATTAATAAATAAATAGAAATAATCTACTTAGATATTAGAGCAGAATAAATATATATATATATATATATATATATATATATATAAATATGTAAATTACGTTTAGAAAGTATATCCCCGAAACGAAAGGAAAGCATTTCTGTACTTTTCATTTATTATTGGCTTGTTAGTTAATGTGTGTTTGTTTTGAAGCCAATTAAATTTTATTTCTGAATAAAAGGTTGCCATTTTCATTTGTAAATCTTATTTGGGTAATTTTTCTGTTAAAATTTGAGTATTTGTACCCGATCGGTTCAGCCGTTTTCACGTTTATTTGATATAGACAGACAGACACACAAGCAAAGTATATAATATAGTTTATATACATATTATGTAATTAGATTAGAATTAGTTTTTAAAAGAAGAAATGAAAGAGGCCGAAGATGATGTTAACATAAACATTAAATAAATAAAAAAAACTTATTTTATAAAGATTTTAAAGTATTTTCTGAAGAGTTGATTTAGTGGCTAAGACTAAAGATACGATAATGTTGACTGTGTAATGTGAATTATGTAGTAGGATTCAAGGGGTTTGGTGGTTAGTGATCTTCAGTCTTCATGATATTCTTAACAAGTGGTCTAGAATATCATACAACAACACAAATAACGACTTTTCTGATTGTATGTTTAATATATGTCATCAGTTAATTTGTTTATATCGAATAACATTAGTTTAAAATAAAAAATACATTATTATTTAACATATATTCTGATCCAACATGATCCTTATTCTAGGATATCAAGTTTACGCTTAAAAACACTTACAATGGATTTATTTATTTCATTAATTATAGTGAAATAAATAAAAGTATTCAGAGTGACTGAACAAATTTAGGAAGACATCATTAAAACTTACAATTTTTTCTTTTCTTTTTCTTTTTTATTCTAATTCAGTTGTTCTTTTGTTCCAGGTATAACCCCTGGACAGCTGTACAGGGAACCTGAAGGGGGGTTGAGACACCATCCTTCCCCCCCGGCAACACCCCCTCTAGTTCCCAACATACACACCTTCTACCAACAGCCTAGGGGGCAGTTCTACCCAACCTCGTTCAACATGCGCCACCAGTCAATGTTGTATGAACAACATCAGGTAAAATTTAAGAACAGACCCTTTAACTAAAATAATTGTCAATTAAAAGTTGATCAGTCAAGCTAGCAAATTTACTTGATCTGCGCTTAATTTACTAATATTATTTGAAATAATTTACTTGATCTGCGCTTAATTTACTAATATTATTTGAAATAATTTACTTGATCTGCGCTTAATTTACTAATATTATTTGAAATAATTTGTCAGCAAACCCGACACTGTGCCTTATAAGAAAATAAACACTGATTTTACAAAAATATTGAAATTAATCCGTTTCAGAATATGCTGTATTCCGTCTAATTTGTGATACACAGTTATAAATACATACATCTTGGTTAATCTTGATTTAATTATCGCCTCTTAGCAAAATAAATTGAAAAAGCAAATAAGCTGACTACGCAAAACATATTTTAAATAATTTTTCTCTGGATTTTGAGCTCAGAATCTTTTTCATTTTATTTTAAACTTATGCCTCAACTTGAAGTTGGAAAATAATGCAAAAACGAATGAGAATTTTTTGTTTATTTACAACTAAAGTTTATTGGATAGCCCTTGTCACGAGGCCGGTTACATGCATAAAAATGCACTTTTTGGTTTCCCTTGTCAACCTATAAATTGTGCAATAATGTGAAGATATTTAATTAACTCGATGCATTGGCAAAAATGTCGATGTGTGGAGGAATAAAATTCTTTATTGACGTAGTTAAACAAATATGTTCAGGGGCAACCAAGCTGTCCTGTAATTATTGTAATATATTGTTCAGGGGCAACCAAACTATCTTGTAATTATAGTAATATATTGTTCAGGGGCAACCAAACTATCTTGTAATTATAGTAAGTTATTGTTCAGGGGCAACCAAACTATTTTGTAATTATAGTAATATATTGTTCAGGGGAAACCAAACTATCTTGTTATTATAGTAATTTATTGTTCAGGGGCAACCAAACTATCTTGTAATTATAGTAATATAATGTTCAGGGGCAAACCAGCCATCTTGTAATTATAGTAAGTTATTGTTCAGGGGCAACCGAACTATCTGTGGGGCCATCAGCAGGTGCAACATCAACCCTCCTGGGGGTCTCAAGAAACGGGTTTGTAAATATTCTTATGGATTTATGGTCTGCTGGTTTACTTTTTATTGGATTTATGGCCTGCTGGTTTACTTTTTAATGGATTTATGGTCTGCTGGTTTACTTTTTATTGAATTTATAGCCTGCTGGTTTACTTTTTATTGGATTTATGGCCTGCTGGTTTACTTTTTAATGGATTTATGGTCTGCTGGTTTACTTTTTATTGGATTTATGGCCTGCTGGTTTACTTTTTAATGGATTTATGGTCTGCTGGTTTACTTTTTATTGCTGCTGGTTTACTTTTTATTGGATTTATGGCCTGCTTGTTTACTTTTTTAATGGGATTATGGTCTGCTGGTTTACTTTTTATTGGATTAATGGCCTGCTGGTTTACTTGTTATTGGATTTATGGCTATTTTTGGATTTATGGCCCGTTTTTTTACTGTTGATTTGATTTATGGTTTGTTGGTTTACTTGTTATTGGATTTATGGCCTGTTGGTTTACTTTTTATTGGATTTATTGACGGCTGGCTCATGTTGGAACTTTAAAAAAAAATTGGTGGGCTATATTATGCATTAAAAAATGTCTATAATCCATTAAGTATTGTTTCATGGATTCCGTATGACATATATGCTTTTTATTAAAAGTAAAGTTTACTGGAGTTTGGTGTTATCTTATAATTATCTAAATTTAAAAAAATATGTTGATATAAACATCAAGAAAGAAACGCACAAAAATGATTTAAAAAATTGTTGCTGTGTTTTTTTTAATTTTAAATTATGGCTTTTGCATTCATAGCTAACCCTGTTTATTCAATTGTTTATAAAAAGAAAAAAAAAGCTTCTTATTCTGACTTCAAATATATGTTTGTGCATACATGAATATCTATTATCTAAACTTTATTATATTAAAGTAAAAAAATTAGATTGCTTTTTTTACTTCTTCTTTCTGTTTTAATATAGGTATACAATTTTATTTGCTTAAAGTAAAAAATATTTCTTTTATGCGTATTTACTTTTTTGTGCCAAACATTTTTGAGCATATCAATTACCGCTTTTTATTTATTATTTTTAACATTAAAAAAAACAAGTTTATCCATATTTAATACTGTATTCAAAACATAAATCAAATCAAATCCTGACGAGAAATTTGATTACTTAAATATTCTGTACAGAACAAGCACTTTTAGTATAATAAATTCATGGCTAAATTTTGTTTTAGAGAATGATTAAATGTTGTCACCTCTATTTATAACGTGGGCTCTGTCTTTCTATCTTTCTATATTTGTATTGTATCGATCTACGTGTCTGTACTACAGTACTTAAGGGAATTTTTGCGTAATTTAGACTGACCCTCTATACAAAAATGACAATGCCCGATTCACAACGGTACCCTTGAAATCTTATCTGATCAATACTGAAAGCTTTTATGGGTTTTCTAGTGTTTAATTCTGATCATTTCTATAAGAAATGCGCAATCACTTTTGCAGTAAAACTGTAATAGAAATAATCAGTTTTCAAAATTATTATGGATCAGACAAAGTTTGAGAGAATCGGACAGTGCCATCTTTGCACGTAAGGTCACTTGAAATTACGCTTACAGTCCCTTTAATACTTGTTTAACGACATTTATAATATTAACATATGTCTGGTCTGTTTTATTTATCCAAGCTTTCTCCGACCAAACAGTGTAGAGAGTACCAAGGTCTTTCTTGGTTATTTCCCCAAGGATTAATTAATCTAATACTATTGTCGTCATCTTGGTTTGTAAACACAAGAAAACCAGTTTCTCAAAACTTTACCCAGCAAAAACCTCGATTGATCTAAAGTATGTGGTCTTCAATTCAAACTTAACTGAACTATTGATAACTTACATTTTAATAATTATATCTTTTCAATACGATTGTGTAAACCTTTTTTAAATTGTATTTATTGGATCGTACAGCATCTAAAGTATGAAATATGAAAGGTATACGAAATCAGGTTGCAACTATATACATTTAAGAATTACAAAATCAGTTTTACTTTGTACTCATGCTGTCCAGATGTATGATCTCCAGGATCTCCGAAATCTGTAGGATCTCCGAGATCTCAAGGGTCTCCATGATCTCCAAGATCTCTTAATAGATAGATACATATATATTTTGGCGAACATTAAAATAAATACATTTTACATTTTCTAATTTATAACTAAACAATTATTAGCCAGGGCTACAGCCTAACCATTTCTGGTTGTTTTGATTGGCTGGCCCTCCAAAATTTTATAGATACGTTTTATTTTTTTTTTAACAAATAACAAATACATTAAACTAATCACAAAGTAATTTTTAAAAAATGGGAAAAAAAGAAGGAAGGGTTAATAGCAAAGGGAAAAAGGGAAGAGAAGGAGAAACCACAGCACTAAAAAATCCAATTTTTGAAGATAATATGTTACAGAGGTTTTTACAAGATTTTCAAATTACATGAGTAACAGTTCCTGTTTATTAAATTCCTTACATCTAGAAGCTAGATATATTTTCATATTCGTTTTGAAACTAAGTATTGACAATGAACATTTATTATTCATTGAAACACTATTCCTAATTCTCGTGAGAAATATTTTGGAAAAGGTTTAAGATATTTGTTTCTTATTAATTCCAATTTAAAACTTTGTGTCCTATTAGGTTCTACAAATGGAGCAAACATTCCATTAAAAGACGAAGGAAGTTTTTCTTTTATATATTTATACATAAAAGTAGAAGCATTATGTTTGTGTATATCAGATAAGTTAAGCATTCCAAGTTTAGAAAACAAAGGATCTGTATGCTGTGAATATCCTTTATCTGACAAAGTCCGTATTGCTTTCTTTTGAAGTTTAAATAATGTTCCTATTTTATTGTTTGTTGATGACCCCCATGCTAAAATACCATACTCAATTGAGATTTTATTAAACTTTTATAAACTATCTTTCTTATGTTTAACGGAAGAAGCTTTTTAACACTTTTCAGGGCAAAAATTTCACTTGATAAATACCATCTAAGTGATAATTACAGATCAAAAATTCGTCAACAAACTTCAAATATTTATCTTTGCAAGTTGAGCATATTCTTTCAATAATTTCATTTCCTATTTTGAGATTATAACCCTGATCATCAAATAGCATAGATTTATTTCTAAATACAAAATATTTGGTTTTTGAAACATTAAGTGTTAACTTATAAGGATCTCCAAGATCTCAAGGATCTTCATGATCTCAAGGATCTTCAAGATCTTTGGATTCTCAAGGATATCTAGGATATCTAGCGGAATATATTTTCCCTAATCTCTGATCTTTCAACTCTCTGTATATATATCTTTATAGTACTTCCCTGTTCCAGTCCGTAGTTCAATTTCTCGATTGGTTGGTTATTCCCCCCCCAGCCCTCCTTGCCTCTTATATTATGTTTGGACACTGGATTCTTATGGGGAAAACTTGCTCAGCTTTTCCTTTAATATCTTCATAATATTCTTTGTAAGGGTTTCAACCCCATTCAAACTTTACTGGCCGGCTGTTTGTTTACATAAGTATATCATTTTTTTTTATTCTCAAGAAATAAAGTCAATTTTTTTGAAGAAAATGTGGAAGAAAAGATTATAAAATCATTTTCTTCTTAAAAAAACAAACAAATTTTAAATCAAACATTTATTCCAAAAATATCGGATAAAGCCGTCAAGGAAAAAAGTTTAGAAATAATTAGACCTAAAGCTCTACATCGAATATTAAAAGAAGTTTATCAGAATATTTATCAAAGGTTCATACTTTTGGTTTGAATGTCTCTTTGATGCTAGTCTAAGAAAACTTGTAATTAAAATGTCATCTCAAAATAATGAATATTTGTAAAAATGTTACAGAGATCGTACGACTGGAATTACAACTTGAACCGACATCTCAAGTATGAATGCGGGAAGGAGAATTCATTTATGTGCTCAAAATGTGGCCGAAGGTAACTTTTTATCCATCAAAAATATTTTTAAAATTCTGGCGTTGGAAACTTGTTCTATATTGGAAGTTTTACTTTTATATTTATTTAGTTTTTAGAAATACTAGCTGAAGTACCCGGCGTTGCCCGGTAAATTCTAAAAAAAACATATGAAAACAAAATAAAATTTTTGTTTAAATCGATTTTTGAAGTAATCATCCTAATTTGAAGGGGAAAAAACGATTTTAAAAAATGTTTCTCCTAAGGTATCATGGGTTCTCTCAATAAGTTTCAGCTAATTTGGTCTAGCTATACCTAACATATATATGTGAGCGAAGAGCGGCGAAACAGGACCACCAAAACTTTTCTCAGGATCAATGGTGGACTGTTTTATTTTTTATTTATATATATAAGCAAAGAGCTTTATTATATGTATAAATAGGTAAATTTTCTAATTTTGTTTATTTAGGTTTCCCCACAAACAAAACTGTGTTTATCATCTAAAACGTAAACACAAGATCATGTGTGATACTGTGGATCAATATGTTTCATCAGGTAAAAAAAAAAAACATTTAAGGGAAGGATTACGGTTTTCTTGATGAATTAACATTCAAATTAATTAAAATGAATTACAATGGTCTAGGTTGTGTGTTAAGACTGGTGAAAAACTAATAATTTTATTGACTCATTTCAACAACATTCATGATTTTTTATCTCTATAAAATGTCGGTATCATAAAACAAACAAATTGTTAAACCCTGTTGTCAAATTTTCTGATAAAATTAAAGTCGGAAACTGTTTTCTTGTTCCGACAAATTATTTGATAAAGCAACATTTCTGTTTGACAGTTGAATATTATTTGATAAAGCAATATTTCTGTTTGACAAGTTGAATATTATTTTTTGTTCAAATCTACAATGAATGGTTTGCCTCGTTATTTAAATAAAAAAAATGATTTTTTTTTATAAAAATCATTTATTTATTTTATTTTCAAATCATTGCTTTCTCCAATTAAATCTATTTTCAGCCGAAATAAATTGAATTTATGTTTCAGGGCTTGTGGTGTATCAGTCAGGACCAGGGGGAAAACTTGGAATGAATTCCCCCGGAGAAAATCCGGCTTTTTCCCCCGGTAGTGAGGCATCCCAACATTCCCATGACGCCATGTAATCCGGAAACTGGTTTTATCACCGGAACCGCAGACTTTTGCTTCCGGATTATTCCATGTTCAGCGAGCAAGAAAATTCGGATCTAAAACCGGAAACACTAGAATCTTCGGATATTCTTAGATCAGAACTGTTCAAATGGTCAAAGTGTATTTTTTATCTTTGGACCAAAATCTAGATATTTTTGAGTTTTCCATGGCATTATCTGTTGTTACTCATGTCACATTCAGATATTTATATAGTTCAAAATTAGCAGACAGATTTAGGCTAAATTTTACCACCTTATCAAAAGAACCTTCTAGCAGTATTGAAAAAAAAACTATTTCTTTGAGTGTTTGTTTTTATTGTTCATAAACTTAATCGTAAACTTAAATTTAATTCAATCTAAATTTTCTCTAATATATTGTGTTACACTATACAGTGTACACTGTGCACTGTGTACATGAATTTGAGTGCTTGTATTCTGTACAATGTACTCTGCACATTGTACCTCTATTAATCAACTTTTTCAAATACTTTACTTCTTGGAGAGATATTATAATGAGTGATATAACCTGTGAATAATTAATGATTGTATTTATAAAAATGAATGTAAAATATTACCCAGTTAAATGATAAAATCCCAGTAACATTGTAAACTTTGTATTGTTGTGTAGTACCTGCACTGCACTATGTACATACATCTAGTTTCTTTTCACAAATCAATGTAAGAAACCAGAAACAGGGTTTTATTAAATTGCAGAAAAATTAATTAAGATTACATGTCATCAACCCGTTCTTGTAAAAGAATTGAGTCTTTGCCATAAACTCGGACTTTCTGATGACTAGAGATTTGCAACCCGATGTCGTAGAACTTAGATATTTCAAACTAAAAATTCTATTAGATCACATAATCTAAGTTTGAAATATCAAAGGTTTACGATATCAGGCTCCAAAGATATAGAAATTAGAAAATTTGAGTTTGTGGTAAAAACTCAATTCCTTTGATGATCTGAGTACGTTTCTGAACAAGGCCCGTCCTAATCACGTTCTAGGGGGGACGATAGATGTCTCACGTAAGATTCTTATCTGATAGAAAGATAATTAGGACGCACACAGTCGGAGACGTCATCTGGTCTATATCAATTTTGACAAAAAGACGGCTTTAAATCATGAATCCCAGTTTTTACGTACAGCACAGTGTACATCATGACAATACGTGCATGTTTCAATGTATTTACTCAGGTCTACAAATATACCGGTGTATTATTAAATTAAATCAGTTCCTATCTAGCAAAATTAATTACATACCAAGTTAACATATTTTTTATGGACATTTCTATATTATTGTTCAGCTTTTGTTCAATTATTTAATTTGTGATGATTTATCAGATTAAAAAGATGTTTGCACCTTTTTTGAACATATTCCTCTGCAAAAAAATCTAAATTTATCAATCAATTTATACACCATCATTTCTTACTTTTTTAGTTTTGTTTCACTTCTAAAATTTGACAATCAAATCTCAATAAGTGGAACAGTTTTCAATCAAAAATATACTCGGGGAGAGAAAAAATTCACCTTCCTCCGGATCCAAGACTTAAAAGACTACTGAGACTGGAACAAAAATGACTAATAGTGACCAGATTTCCACGAGATAAATGTATAAATGTATATTTTAGAAATTTATTTTGTAAAATAATTGTGAACGTGTTCGAATACACCCCTCTTGTTCCGTAATATGTATTGTTAATTAACATTTTGTGATATTAAAAATATATATCATTATGTTTAGATATTGTTGATAAGTGTAGGAGATAAGTTTTATATCCTAAAAACATATTAATAAAACACTCTAAGTGTGAAGTGTTAAGGTTAAGAGATCTTTTTCTACTTATCTTAACCTCTGATAATAAATGACGACCATGTACATAGCCTGCGATTTAAAAACTTCGACTCGACCCGTAATTCCATAAACATGACTTTTAAGACCCAACTCTGACGACAGTTTGCGTCACGTGATTGACAGCTGCAAGATCTTCGGCTCGACTTAAGGAGTTAGGCCCAATGAAATTAATATCAGTCCCAGTCAGTATTTTCCAAAAAATTTTAAATCGCAGGCTCAGTATTCCTGTAATTCAGACAATGCGGATAACCATAGGCCATAACTTCTGTATTTCTGTATGGTTAATCTGAAGGTCACTAATCCGTTTCTTTAAAAAATTGTTGTTTAAACTTCTCTTTTAGTCTGGGTTTGGAATTTTAACCTATATTTTTATCACAGAATGAGTTAAAAAAGTGTGATTAGTCTTGAATCCTTTAAAGCAAATGTGTAGAAAGATAAAAATTTCCCTGTATAATACTTGAAGGACTGCAGAATTATATTGGGAAATTTTCATCCTTCTAAATATCCCAGGGAAAGATTTCACAGGTTCTTTCTTACAGGGGTATATATAATGAAGAATACTTTTTTATTTCAGTTTTAAGTATTAAAAAGCTTTTTTTCGAATTACAAGTTAACATTTTACAAGCATTGAATATGAGCTTTTTTAATTGACAGCTTCTCTTTGTTCCCAAGTTTTTTGTGTATCCATACTGTTTAAAAGTTTGATAAAAATGAAAATTGAAATTGAAAGTCGTCTTCATTATATTGCTATAATTGCCCACTCTACATGTTACATGGTATTTTTCCTGACTGTTTTATAATTCTTTCAGTCTTTTTTACTCGCATGGACCAACGAAAAGTTTGAAGTGCAGAAAAGCAAAAATGTTCTTTCAAAAATCATTTTTGATCAGATCCTAAAATTTGCTGAAGATCGGGTTCACCATTTTAGAGATATTTTTATAATATCTCCAAGCTTTTATTAAAAACGATACAATTTAATGTTCCGCCCTATTTTTTTTATTCAAATAAACATGAAATACAGTTTTATACAGGAACTAACAAATTTTTAGACTATTTTTTGGTTCACTTGAACTATTTTTGTGTTCATTTGAACTCATAGCCACAGCCCTAGGTCCCCTAGCCTAACCCCAAATATCAGCCATCAATTAGTCAACTTGATAAATGTGGCTACTGTGCTCGGCCCAGATAAATTCTTAACCAAACCTAACCCCACATTTGCACTATTTTATGTTCATTTGAACTATTTTTTTTTGTTATTTTGAAAATTTTATGTTTAATGAACTATTTCATTTGAACTATTTTTACGTTAATTTGATCTATTTTTATATGTCCATTTGAAATATTTCTTTGTTTGTTTGAACTATATCTTAAATTGTTTGACCTATAAACTTCATGAAATCCCAAAATTTTAAAAACTACTGTATGTTAAGAAAAATAGTTCAAATGAGCAAGTATGCGTGTTGATTTGAACTACAGAATACAGGAACTGATATAGGATTTCAGTGAAAGGGGTGCTAGATTTATTTCAGAACAAAAAAATCAAGATTTAGTTTTGTTTTGACTTAATATGTTTTGCACTAGGTTTTTTCCCATAAGTGCTATTGAGAAGCTCTTCTGAAATCTCAGCGGGGTGCGAAGGTCCTGCCGCCCCCTCCCCCATGGCTGTATCCGCCCCTGACAGGATATGACAATTCATATCAGTAGCTTAAGTGAACAATAGTTCAAGCGAACAATAGTTCAAACGAACATAAGTTCAAACGAACATTAGTTCAAGCGAACAATAGTTCAAAAGAACATAAGTTCAAATGAACATTAGTTCAAGCGAACAATAGTTCAAATAGGTATCTACCCAAATTTCAAGTTCTCTTGTCTAATTATTATTATGTCTACAGGGTGTCCCAAAAACATGGGAATTCAGTGACGAATTCGATATCGTCTTTGTTATGAATTAGCATTGTAATACCTAATTTCAAAAGCAATAATATTATTATGTCTGCTAGAGTTTATTTTATGAAAAGGGTAGAAGACTGTAAAGATGTGTCTATAATGTCTCCGCACGATGAACAGTGAAGACGGACAAGTTTACTCTGTTTGTATACTGCAATTTTCTTGTTTTACTAAGTACAACCGTATGCAGTCAAAACATAAACACACAAATTGTAAACATAGCAGACGAAACTCTTACAGATTACAGCTTTCTCATTAGGTATCACTATACTAAATCAAAGAATTATTTAAAAAGACGATATCGAATTCGTCACTGAATTCCCATGTTTTTTGGGACACCCTGTAGTATATTGAACAAATTGCTTATAGTTGCCTAAAAGTCCTACTTCAAATGAACTGGAGTTTAATTTTACAGTGTTTTTATTGATTATGTCTAGTCCATAAATTTAATAATTCTACAGTCTGTACCACTGAGATCAACTTGCATCAGCCAAAGGGAACAATTGTTAAACTAGCCCTGCCTAGTTCAACAACTTCTCACTGCTCATTAGCTCAGACCATTGGGCATTAATGGACAAATACAGTCCCGAAAAACATTCGAATGCAACGACGACATTTTATTTTAAGGTTATTTGCTGTGCACATTCATTTTGATCTTATTCCAACTTTTCAACTTAAATAAGTAATTATTCTATGACTGTAAATATAGTTTTCATGGATTTTAGGTCGTCTTCTTTTTGATAAATTAGTTCAGTTTGTGTTGAATTGGTTTTTGATGTTAATTAATGTATGCAAGCTTAACTTTACATATATAATACATTTGTGAAAATCTGTTTTACTGATCTAATTTGAAATCCAATATCCAATTAGTCAATTATACTTGATGGCAGTGAAGCAATTAACAAACACTTAAATTCAACTAATTTCAGGTTTTAAAAAATTGCAATATTATTATTTCATTATTTATGTTTTGAAGCATCAGGAAATTTAATGATTTATTTTATATGTATAATACATTTAAATTTCTTGTTTAAAATTTTTATCAACACTCTCCTTGTTCTTCTTGTATATTCAAACAAACCTCAAATTAGAAGGTTTTCTGTTTAAAAGGATTGAAATTCTCATTTTTATATTCTAGAGATGCGTAGACTATCGTGTTCTTTAATATTTTTGCAACACTTTATTCTTAATTAAAGAAGACATTATCTAATACTGCAATTACTGGTAGGACATTGCAACCTAGAAACCTTAGAAATTCTCCAGTTCTTTTTATTTTAAACACAGGAGTGAGAAATTCAGAATCTTTGTTTAAGTTAAGTTTTGTGTCAATAATAGATAAGTATATAAAACTAATAACATGTTTATCATACAGGGTTACCCACAAAGGATGAAACTGTAACGACGACCTGAAACTCATAAAATAGGAAAATTGTCAGATTAAATTAAGTCTTCTGCCTTGAATATGGTCTTTTGATGACTTAATGATTTGATAAAGAAAGAAATAAGTTTACAGTTGCAGAAACCCAGTAACTTGATACTTAAGAAATAGCGGAATGATTTTCATCCTCGCTCTTTCTTTTAACTATAATTGTAGTTAAAAGTTGTGAAATTTGCAACTAATATAAACTGAACATTTTCATATATATATCAGTTAACATTTACAAAAAACCAAACACCCAGTGATTTTCATTTCAAAAGTCAAAATTAAAATAAAGATGATTATTATTCCACTGTTTTCTGGTTACCACTGTACACCGGTGAAGAGGGCTAAAAAAGTTACTTAAATAAATTCACATTTCTCATATTCTCATGATCAAGAAAAATTGTTTGGTGATTTTTTCAAAGATTTATGTAATATGTCTTGACCTTAAAATTGCTTGAGCATTTTAGATTCCAGACCAACAATTTATTTCAGTAAAACAGTACCTTAAACATTTTGATATGAAGACGACCATATGGACGGTTTATAATGAAAACGACTATTAATTTTTCAGAATGAAGAAGACTATTATTTTTTCAGAATGAAGATGATCATTATTTTTGTCGTCTTGATGTTTTGTTACGTGAACCAAGCAGTTGGGAAAACATACTTGATACAAACTGTGGTAAGTAAAAAGGGTAAAATATAAGAAAACCTGATATTGCAAGAAAAGGGGGCCAGGGGAGAAGGGAATAAAACTTGAAAATATTGAAAAACAATTCTCCAAGACTTGGTGAATTCACTATTTCAAATTTTAAACTCATGGAAAAGTCGTCTTTCATTTAATGTTTGGCCACCTCTGCACAAAATCATAAATTATTATTGATAAATTGTGAATACTTTAATATTCTAACAATTAATTTAATTTTTCTGGATGATGAAATTACCGGAATGGATTACGATAATTACAAATATGACTTGAAAGAATTCTTGGCGAACCAACCTGCAGGAAGTTCCATACAAATGTGAATTAAGTAACGGAAAAGAAATCCTGAGATTTCCAAGATGTTGTTAAATTAACGGAAAACTTAGAATTGTAAGCGTAAATTATAGTGATCCTTCTTGCAAAGATGGCAATACCCGATTTAGAACATACGGTATCCTTGAAACCTTCATCTGATCAAAAATGTAGAAAATGCCGTCGTTTTTCTGATTCGAGAAGTGTTTAATTCTGATGATTTCTTCATTGCTTTTTTAAGCAAGAGATGCGCAGCAGCTCAAATAAATTTAGCAGACAACCTGCAAAATGAAAATAAACAGTTTTAAGAAAAACAAGAAAAAATGGATATCTATTTCATACTTGGTTCAGACAAACCTTTTCAGTGTAACGTTGTGAATCGGAAATTGCAAACTTTGCATGAATGGTCACTTGAAATATTTCGCTTACTGCCCCTTTAATATATTTATCTCTCTCCATTATTTGATTTTAATTTAGATTATTCTAATCATTCTGGTTTGATTTCGGTTTTAGTTTGGAATACAATAAGGTGAATAAATTCACAAAATCCACTTTTATGATGAGAAAAATGTTCAGCCTCATTTCAAATTATCATGGAAGAAAATTGTGTTCCATGAGAATGTACAGCTTTACGTCCTTTTATTAAAGCAAAGTCGGCAAATACCAAATTCATGTTTATTGGAACTCACCGACTAGGAGGCGCACCACCAGCGAATGGTTAGCGCAAGGTTTGATGCTTCAGGTAAAATAGTTTTTAAAGAGAGAAATTTTGTAGGAAAGCCTGTAAATAAAGAGCGTGGACGAAGATTCCAGAAAGTCGTCTTCTTTCTCTGACAAGTATTAAAAGTTTTTTCTACCGTTACAATCTGTACTTGTCTGTTCCAAGTTCATAATTGACTGATATATATGACTGAAGTATTTCATATTTGAAAGAATAAATGTATATCATTCTTATGGTCATTTTATTTTTGTGTGTGTAGAAGTACATAGTTTTTATTTTATCGCAATATAGGTTTGTATGTTTTGAATCAAACATAGACTTCTGATATTAATAATGTTGATACCTCTATAAAATATCTATACCTCTATATGTTTATTTACAGATCTAAATAAGGTTCTGAAGAATTAAACCTTGGAACAAAATCTGACCAACACACCAGATGCAAACCTGGAATTTATTGAAAATTTTAAAAATCAAATGTTCATAGAAGTTTCAAATTTAAAATGTTAATATATTTTCGAATAATAATTTTTATTAGATTGCATAAAAACAACAAATACTGGGATATAATTACAACCTACACAAAACTTATAAGTTTATTAGATTTATCGCGGAATTTTTAAAGAAGTGTTAAAAATATTGCTTGCAAATACCAGAAAACAATTTGGCTTTCTAATGCTTCATCAAGTGACTGTCTTCAATGTGTGGCTACAAGCCAGTAATTTTATTCACTTTGAAGCTGCGGGGATAGGGTTGAAGCTGCGGGGATAGGGTTGAAGCTGCAGGGATAGGGTTGAAGCTGCAGGGATAGGTTTTAAGACACAACAATGGAAATTCCTGAAAAGAAAATTTATTGATTAGCTCTTGATTTTATCAGACGAGGAAAGGAAGGCTAGCCACAACGATTTCTTGTCCAAGCCACATACTCCTCTTTTTCTTGTCCGAGCCACCTCAAAATCCTGAGGCAGGACCAGGAGGAAAACTTGAAATAAATTCCCCCCGGAAAAAATCCGGCTTTTTCCCCCAGTACTGCAGTAGTGAAGCATCCCAACATTCCCATAAAGCCATTTAATCCGGAAACTGGTTTTATCACCGGTACCGCAGACTTTTGCTTCCGGATTATTCCATGTTCAGTGAGCAAGAAAATTCTGATCTAAAACCGGAAACACTAGAATCTTCGTATATTCTTAGATCAGAACTGTTCAAATGGTCAAAGTGTATTTTTTATCTTTGGACCAAAATCTAGATATTTTTGAGTTTTCCATGGCATTATCTGTTGTTACTCATGTCACATTCAGATATTTATATGGTTCAAAATTAGCAGACACATTTAGACTAAATTTTACCAACTTATCAAAAGAACCTTCTAGCAGTATTGAAAAAAAAACTATATTTTGTTGAGTGTTTGTTTTTATTGTTCTTAAACTTAATTGTAAACATATAGGGGGAGGGGGTAAAATTAGAAGTGCCAGGCAAAATCAATGTATTGATTAAGTGACTGTATAGTATAGTAATCTTTACTTCCCAAAAGAAATCTTTTCATGCAATTATTTCCAAACCAAATAAAACCTTATGGCCCAACCTGTCGTCGCTGCCTTAGTCTATTCCACTTTAGTATTTATTCACTTTGCATTTAAACTATTTTATGTTCATTTGAACTATTTTTTTGTTATCTTGAAAGTTTTAGGTTTTAATTAACTATTTCATTTGAACTATTTTTTATGTTTATTTGATCTATTTTTATATGTCCATTTAAAATATTTATTTGTTTGTTTGAACTACATCTTAAATTGTTTGACCTATAAACTTCATGAAATCCCAAAATTTTAAAAACTACTGTAAACAGGATTTCAGTGAAGGGGTGCTAAATTTATTTCGGAACAAAAATTCAAGATTTAGGAAGCAAAAGACATGCCACAGGCGAAACATTTTTTGACTTCCTGTTTTGCACTAGGTTTTTTTCCCTTAAATGCCATTGAGATTCTATTCTGAAATCTCAGGAGGGTGCGAAGATCCTGCCGCCCCCCCCCCCATGGCTGTATCCGCCACTGACAGGATATAAGTAGCTTAAATAAATTATCGTTTAAACGACCAATAGTTCAAACGAACATTAGTTCAAACGAAAATTAGATCAAACTAACAATAGTTCAATAGACGGTAGTTCAAACAGGTATCCACCCAAATGTCAAGTTCTCTTGTCTAATTAATCTACCTGCAGAAGGGCATAATTCTATACTTTTAGTCTGTAAGTTATAAGTATATTGTACAAATTGCTTCTAGTTGCCTAAAAGTCTAACTTCAAATGCACCGGAGTTTAATTTTGTAGGGTTTTTATTGATTATATTGATAAATATAATAATTCTGCAGTCAGTACCACTGAGATCAACTTGCATCAGCCAAAGGGAACAATTGTTAAACTAGCCCTGCCTAGTTCAACAACTTCTCACTGCTCATTAGCTCAGACCATTGGGCATTAATGGACATATACAGTCCCGAAAAACATTCGAATGCAATGACAACATTTTATTTTAAGGATAATTGCTGTGTATATTCATTAGAATTGATCTTATTCTTGTTAAATTTCAACTTGTTAAATAAGTAATTATTCTATGACTATAAAATTAGGTTTTATGGATTTTAGGTCATCTTCTTGTTGATAAATTAGTTCATGTTTGTGTTGAATTGGTTTTTGATGTTAATTAATGTATGTTTTTAGCTTTTAATTTGTTTGATAACATTACAGCTTAACTTTACAATACATTTGTGAAAATCTGTTTTACTGATCTAATTTGAAATCCAATTTCCAATTAGTTAATTAAACTTGATGGCAGTATAGCAATTAACAAACACTTAAATTCAACTAATTTCAGGTTTAAAAAAATTGCAACATTATTATTTTATTATTTATGTTTTGAAGCATCAGGAAATTTCTTGATTTAATTTTATATCTATAATACATTTCAATTTCTTGTTTAAAATTTTTATCAACACTCTCCTTGTTCGTCTTGTTTATTCAAACAAACCTCAAATTAGAAGGTTTTCTGTTTTAAAGGATTGAAATTCTCATTTTTATATTCTAGAGATGCATAGACTATCGTGTAGAGATGTCAACGTTTTGATTTTTCTAGATTTTAGCTTTCGTTACGATTGTGTTTATCAAAAGTATAAACGTTTGAAATGTTACGATGCACATTATGAAATTTAATGGCATGGAGTAACGTTAGGTAACAAATTTTCTGCAATTAAATACCTTATTCAGCGTTAAGCTTTAGTAAATGGTAATGAAAAAAGTCAGCTCAGTTATGCTTTTGCATTTCCTGTTTTAAAAAACTTTCCAACGTTGCATTAACGCTTTTGTAATTTAACCACAATTTTTTAACATTCCACTTTCAGGCAAGGTAAATACTTTTGGAGACCTTACATTACACTTTCAATTGGTTTGAAAACTAAAAGGTGACAAACCTTTTGCTTTCATAAAACGTCCTTGGGGCTATAGTTCTGCATGTTACAATGCATTTCAGTGCAAAGAATATTTTTTGTCAACATTACGTTTTATCTTAACTTTTCCAATATAAACTCTTTTAATTACGTTTAGAAAATTTACTAAAATGCAACTTTACTATTGTTATGATTTAT